GGTTGGGTGACTTTCCCAAAAACTTCACCATCATTTATACATTCAGTAGCTGTTTTACCATAAGCCCACAGACATCATAATTGAAATGACCTTCTGAACTGTAACATCTCCATCCTGTCTACAGTGCTTGGACAATGACACTGTACTTACCACCTACAGGGCTCAAGTCCAGCTAACCAATTTACCCTGAAACCCTGCATAAATGTTACCTTGTTCTTGCTCCAACAAGATGTCACATCTCCAAAAACCACTTTTCTCCTCGTCCCAGTATAACACTCGTACATCATGACAAGTTGTTAATGGCAGCAAATTTAGAAGATAACGTAAGAATAAAGGAGCATTACAGCAGGCCTACTGGCTCATACTAGGCAGGTCCTTAAACCCAACCCTTCTCACTCATATACATATTTGTGCCAATCATTTTTGAAGTGCCCATAGCATAAGTTCTTAGGTTCTTAAACTAACACCTTAGTAAAGTAAAGTATATTTCTTTGTAAAGGTTACAATGTGTAATTACAGTTTTGATTTGCTGAGTACAAAGATAGCCACTATCATGCCCAGGCATTTTGGGCAAACTAATCCTAATACATAGTAACTAATTAAAACTAGATAAGATAATAGTACAAAGTAACTATACTTAAAACTAGACAAGTAATAGTGGTTAACTGTTTTACAATTTTATTTAAACTTAATACAAGTGAGAGGTAGTAAGGTGGAGTAGGGTTCGGTAAAATAATCTTGAAATTGCACACAAAATCTACCTTACAAGTAATGGTGCAGGTGGTAATATTTTATGGAATAGCAGAATTAAAAGCCAGGCCACATAATAAAGCTAACTAGCAGATGTTTTGGCCGATTTGGTTAATATTGAGAAATAAGGTGATTTTAAGGATTGGCAGAATTAAGAGCCTAGAGGCCACATAATCAAACTAGTTAGCAGATGTTTTGGTTGATTTGGTTAATATTGTGAGATAAAATGATTTTTTAGCAAAGTCATAAATTTATAAGCTGTTAGGGGATCCTTGACCTGTTCCGGTAGCGAGTTCCACATATTCGGGCCTTTTATGTGCGTAGCGTTCTTGCATAGTGAGAGACTGACTTGAGGGATGTTGAAAGTGTCTTATGCCTTGTATTGTGGCTGTGCATTCTGTTGTAACTGTCAAGGAGTAGTTTTAGGGGAGGGTTTACAGTGGAGTTTAATGTTCTGAATATGTAGTAGGCACAATAAAAAGAGTGCATGTCTTGCATATTTGCAAATTGATTTATTTTTTTTTATTATCACACCGGCCGATTCCCACCAAGGCAGGGTGGCCCGAAAAAGAAAAACTTTCACCATCATTCATTGCAAATTGAATCTTTTGAAAAGTGGTGGGGTGTGCTGTCTAGCACAGGAGATGGTTATCACCCGCACAGCAGCTTTTTGTTGAATTATTAAGGGTCTAAGGTGGTTGGCTGTGGTTGAGCCCCAGGCACAAATACCATAGGTGAGGTAAGGATATGTATTAGAGTGGTACAGGGTAAGGAGAGTCGTTTGTGGTACATAACTTGGATATAAACCCTCCCCTAAAACGTCTCCTTACCAACCTCAACAAAACACATGACCATAACACAAGTCACAGATAACCCTTTGATGTTCCTCTTGTCCATCTCGCACTATGCAAAAACTCAATGCACATAAAAGGCCCAAAAATCTGGAATTCATTGCCTGTGAATATAAAAGAAACACTGTTTATAAATTCAAGTCTCTTCTTAAAAATCACTTACTCACTCACAGACTTTTTTTTTTCTTTAATTACATTACTTAACAGAATACTCCATTCTGTTGAATGCACAGCAACTCGGCAAATGACCATATGACCTGTCTTTGAAATACTTATTTGTGCTTAATTGCTATTTGTTTACTATAATTTTTACCACTGAATATATCATTGCTTAGTTAATCTTAAGTTAATTTTAAGCCTGCCCATCATGCTCTGCATACAAGGGGCTTTTGGCATGTTACACTTAACCACTGTATTTCTTTGTACATCTATGTATCATGTCCAAATTAATAATAAATAAATTGGGGAGGAGGAGTATGGAAGAAAATGTTTTCAGATACTGGGAGTTGACGTGTCGGCGGATGGATTTATGAAGGATGAGGTTAATCATAGAATTGATGAGGGAAAAAAGGTGAGTGGTGCATTGAGGTATATGTGGAGTCAAAAAACGTTATCTATGGAGGCAAAGAAGGGAATGTATGAAAGTATAGTAGTACCAACACTCTTATATGGGTGTGAAGCTTGGGTGGTAAATGCTGCAGCGAGGAGACGGTTGGAGGCAGTGGAGACGTCCTGTCTAAGGGAAATGTGTGGTGTAAATATTATGCAGAAAATTCGGAGTGTGGAAATTAGGAAAAAGTGTGGAGTTAATAAAAGTATTAGTCAGAGGGCAGAAGAGGGGTTGTTGAGGTGGTTTGGTCATTTAGAGAGAATGGATCAAAGTAGAATGACATGGAAAGCATATAAATCTCTAGGGGAAGGAAGGCGAGGTAGGGGTCATCCTCGAAAGGGTTGGAGAGAGGGGGTAAAGGAGGTTTTGTGGGCAAGGGGCTTGGACTTCCAGCAAGCGTGCGTGAGCATGTTAGATAGGAGTGAATGGAGACGAATGGTACTTGGGACCTGACGATCTGTTGGAGTGTGAGCAGGGTAATATTTAGTGAAGGGATTCAGGGAAACCGGTTATTTTCATATAGTCGGACTTGAGTCCTGGAAATGGGAAGTACAATGCCTGCACTTTAAAGGAGGGGTTTGGGATATTGGCAGTTTGGAGGGATATGTTGTGTATCTTTATATGTATATGCTTCTAAACTGTTGTATTCTGAGCACCTCTGCAAAAACAGTGATTATGTGTGAGTGTGGTGAAAGTGTTGAATGATGATGAAAGCATTTTCTTTTTGGGGATTTTCTTTCTTTTTTGGGTCACCCTGCCTCGGTGGGAGACGGCCGACTTGTTAAAAAAAAAAAAAAAAAAAAAAAAAAATATATAGTGTCGTATCTTGGAAAGACTTCCTACTGATTTGGAAATTTTCTTGGCTATGTGATGGGTATGGGACTGAAATTTAAGATTACAGCCAAGGAGAAGACATAGAAATTTGTCCTCCATGTGTCTTGATATAGGGGAACCATTTAACAATGTTAAATATATCCTCTCTAATTCTGAATTTATTCAATGTGAATCCATTATTTCAAGGTATATTTTGGCCTTAAAACTAACCCACACTTGGGAAACTTTTGATGAGATTTCAGTCTGTCCTGGGCCATTGTCAAGTCTCAGCTGAGTAAGAAAAAATAGAGATCAGAAGACAAGGAGGAGGAAAGAAGTACAGTGATACCTCTCATATCCTAACTATATAGGCCGAGACCGGTTCAGAAACAAGGAATTTCCGGATACGTGAAGGGAAAAAAATGCTCATCCATACCATCATATAGCCATTTGTACCCCATCATATTGCAATCTGTGATGGCATTGTAAGTTTAAAAAATGAATCTAACGTTGTCTGGCAATGGGATCAGACACTGTGGGTTAGAATAACAGCCTCCCGGATTTTACGGATCACAAAACCATAACTTCTCAGATGGGCTGTGAGCAGTGGATGCTCCAAATACTCCAAAAGTGTTTTGACACCTGCCCTTGCTGTAGAAGTTTTTGGTCTTGGAGGCATTGGGTCATCATTGTCGTCATCACTTTCGAAATGTTCCGGGTGCCACACTGATTCTGCAATCTTTGTATCCGTCAGAAGTTGCACACCAGGGTCATCCTTGTCACACACTAGCCAGTCCTACACACCAGCGCCAGGAAACCATCATACCACTACCACGTTGTAGGTACTACTTCATCATGCACTGATCAAGTTCCAAGCTGTGTGGCTTCGCCATCACTTTTCTTTTGGCACTTTTTGGCCACTAGGAACGTGGCTCCTAGTGGCCAACCGGTACACCAAAGTGCGCGCTAAGTTTGATTCAGCCTTCTGCCATATCTGAACGGCTGTTCAGATGTTTCAGTAATAATTTTAGAATTTTCCCTTTTCCTAGGGCCTGTTCAGATATTGGCGAGGCTCGGATAATAGCAGGCCGGATATGTGAGGTATCACTAGTAGTAGAGGTTGTAGACTGTTAGTAGTGGTAGTAGTAGAAATAGTAGTATTAGTATTAGTAGTAATAGAAGAAATAGTAGTGATAAGGGTATATTTATATCTCAGTGGATGAAGAAGCTGGTGTCTCATTTTTTGGCACATGTTCCCAGAGGGCTTGCAAAGAAAAAGCTGCTAGGAAAGACAGAAGCAGATAAGGAAAAAGAAGATGGAAAGGCAAGGAAATACAGAAGACAAGTGGAGAGAAAAGGCTATTTCTTGCATATTTGTGACTTGATAATGGTTTGGGACAGAATGAATCATCTAGTTTCCTCCATAAGTGTGGGTTATTTGTGAATTGTTCCAGTGACAATATTGTGACTTTTATTCTTATTCTTTTAAATAGATGTCCTTTAGCATTGTATTTCTCCTTTATATCTGTTTTCCACGTATATACATTAGTATTTCAGTCATATCCCTCCTCATTCTATTAAGAGAGTGAAGGTTCAAGGCTCTCAATCTATCTTTGTATGAAATATTCCTTAGACAGTGGATTAATTTTGTATAATAATGATGTTAGCAACCTCTTATATTAAAAACACTTCAGTAACCAAACAGATCTAGTGCTTCATGAATCATACTGCAGTATTAGTGGTGGATGCAGAAAAATTTATTACCTTAATTTGTGTAAAATTATATGCAGGACAGTTGCTATCATGTTGGCAAAATTTTCTGATCTGATCATTGGTTGGACTGTGAAATTATGAAGATCTCGCATGTTAAATTTTTTTTGATATAGTACCAGTATGTTTCTACTTATGATAATTGCATAATATTGTACTGTACTGTTGCTGATAATAAATTAATTGCCTTATTTCTGTCCTTGAAGGTGAAATGAGGCAGGCAGTGAGAAGAATTTTGCTTAACATTTTGTCCTGTTTAGCCAAGTCTGCATTTTCTTAATTTGTAAGCCAGATTTGAAAAGCCCTTGAAATTAGTCAGAAGTACATACAAGTATCAGCTCTTGTACAACAAACACCAATGTTACAGTTTTGTAAGGTGAGTAAAAAATGTTTTTCTCGTATAAAGTTGTTACAAATTCTTAACCTTATTCGTGCTCTTTGCAAGAGTTATAAAGTGTACATAGATGGCGAGGATGTTGAAAAAAATGCATATTTAAAGTTGTGTGACTCATTTGGGTAAATTAGTACTTTCATGTTAATTGAATGCATTAATTATATAGTAAGCGCATGTTTAAACTCTTCGCTTTGTTTATTAAATATATTTTTCAAAATGTAGGACCTATAGTATATGGCATCTGCATGTTCTAACCTGGGTCTCATATACAACATATTGTAAGCAATTTATTTAGCAATTTTTCCCTGTCAAATTGTATTTAACTCTTTGAATTGGCAGTTTTGGGTAGGTGACTGCATTGCTGATTATATGTTTTAATTGAAGAAGCTTGTTATTCTCTCTCTGAGCTACTGTTGTAGTGTGAGAAGAACAGTGTCTGTAATGAGATCCTGGAAAGTTGGCTAGCTGAACATAAGTTATGGAGGTTGGGAAAGACAATGCTTGCACTTTTAAAGTAAGGCAGAAATATTAAGGTTTAGTGAGCCAGTGTTGGATTGCAATGTGTTTGCTTTTAGAAAGGCAGCTACAAAGTGGATTGGCATCTTTGCATCTCCTTGGTGCGGTGGGACACGGTCAATAACTAATAGTCTATTGTTGCTATGTTTTACATGTTTTTTGGTATATACAAGAATCTTTCTTTTTTACAGAATATTACGGAGAGTAATTGGGATGGACCCTCTCTTCCTTAACCTTGGACTGCCACAGCAGGCAGCTGCAGTGGCTCCAGCATCTACTCCTCCTGTGACCAGTCAAGTGAATGGCCTGCCACAGGAGTCGAAACTTGCCACTTATATAAGTGTTAGCCAATTTATACAGTTGCTACTCTAGAAATCATTTGCCAGTAATTTTAATAATTTATGTTGTTCCCATTTTTTATCATTAGTTCTTGATCATGGCCTTTCATTAATACCCTAAAGCATCATTCTCGTTTTAATTTTTTTGCTTTCCTATAAAAAACTGTGCAAGTGTGATCCTGGTTAAATTAGAAAAAATGTTGGAATGTTATAAAAATGCAGTAATGCTATATATCACTTAATTTTTTATTTTAATTGTTGCACTTTTATGTTCAGGTGATGTTGAATTGGCACAAATATCTTATTAGGCAATTGTAAATAACTAAAGATAAAAATAAATAATTACCAGGTACATATATTATTATTTTTATTATTATCACACTGGCCGATTCCCACCAAGGCAGGGTGGCCCGAAAAAGAAAAACTTTCACCATCATTCACTCCATCACTGTCTTGCCAGAAGGGTGCTTTACACTACAGTTTTTAAACTGCAACATTAACACCCCCCCTTCAGAGTGCAGGCACTGTACTTCCCATCTCCAGGACTCAAGTCTGGCCTGCCGGTTTCCCTGAACCCCTTCATAAATGTTACTTTGCTCACACTCCAACAGCACGTCAAGTATTAAAAACCATTTGTCTCCATTCACTCTTATCAAACACGCTCACGCATGCCTGCTGGAAGTCCAAGCCCCTCGCACACAAAACCTCCTTTACCCCCTCCCTCCAACCTTTCCTAGGCCGACCCCTACCCCACCTTCCTTCCACTACAGACTGATACACTCTTGAAGTCACTCTGTTTCGCTCCATTATCTCTACATGTCCGAACCACCTCAACAACCGTTCCTCAGCCCTCTGGACAACAGTTTTGGTAATCCCGCACCTCCTCCTAACTTCCAAACTACGAATTCTCTGCATTATATTCACACCACACATTGCCCTCAGACATGACATCTCCACTGCCTCCAGCCTTCTCCTCGCTGCAACATTCATCACCCATGCTTCACACCCATATAAGAGCGTTGGTAAAACTATACTCTCATACATTCCCCTCTTTGCCTCCAAGGACAAAGTTCTTTGTCTCCACAGACTCCTAAGTGCACCGCTCACCCTTTTCCCCTCATCAATTCTATGATTCACCTCATCTTTCATAGACCCATCCGCTGACACGTCCACTCCCAAATATCTGAATACATTCACCTCCTCCATACTCTCTCCCTCCAATCTGATATTCCAATCTTTCATCACCTAATCTTTTTGTTATCCTCATAACCTTACTCTTTCCTGTATTCACCTTTAATTTTCTTCTTTTGCACACCCTACCAAATTCATCCACCAATCTCTGCAACTTCTCTTCAGAATCTCCCAAGAGCACAGTGTCATCAGCAAAGAGCAGCTGTGACAACTCCCACTTTGTGTGTGATTCTTTATCTTTTAACTCCACGCCTCTTGCCAAGACCCTCGCATTTACTTCTCTTACAACCCCATCTATAAATATATTAAACAACCACGGTGACATCACACATCCTTGTCTAAGGCCTACTTTTACTGGGAAATAATTTCCCTCTTTCCTACATACTCTAACTTGAGCCTCACTATCCTCGTAAAAACTCTTCACTGCTTTCAGTAACCTACCTCCTACACCATACACCTGCAACATCTGCCACATTGCCCCCCTATCCACCCTGTCATATGCCTTTTCCAAATCCATAAATGCCACAAAGACCTCTTTAGCCTTTTCTAAATACTGTTCACTTATATGTTTCACTGTAAACACCTGGTCCACATACCCCCTACCTTTCCTAAAGCCTCCTTGTTCATCTGCTATCCTATTCTCCGTCTTACTCTTAATTCTTTCAATAATAACTCTACCATACACTTTACCAGTTATACTCAACAGACTTATCCCCCTATAATTTTTGCACTCTCTTTTTACCATACACTTTACCAGGTATACTCAACAGACTTATCCCCCTATAATTTTTGCACTCTCTTTTTACCATACACTTTACCAGGTATACTCAACAGACTTATCCCCCTATAATTTTTGCACTCTCTTTTGTCCCCTTTGCCTTTATACAAAGGAACTACGCATGCTCTCTGCCAATCCCTAGGTACCTTGCCCTCTTCTATACACTTATTAAATAATTGCACCAACCACTCCAAAGCTATATCCCCACCTGCTTTTAATATTTCTATCTTTATCCCATCAATCCTGGCTGCCTTACCCCTTTTCATTTTACCTACTGCCTCACGAACTTCCCCTACACTCACAACTGGCTCTTCCTCACTCCTACAAGATGTTATTCCTCCTTGCCCTATACATGAAATCACTGCTTCCCTATCTTCATCAACATTTAACAATTCCTCAAAATATTCCCTCCATCTTCCCAATACCTCTAACTCTCCATTTAATAACTCTCCTCTTCTATTTTTAACTGACAAATCCATTTGTTCTCTAGGCTTCCTTAACTTGTTAATCTCACTCCAAACTTTTTCTTATTTTCAACAAAATTTGTTGATAACATCTCACCCACTCTCTCATTTGCTCTCTTTTTACATTGCTTCACCACTCTCTTAACCTCTCTCTTTTTCTCCATATACTCTTCCCTCCTTGCATCACTTCTACTTTGTAAAAATTTCTCATATGCTAACTTTTTCTCCCTTACTGCTCTCTTTACATCATCATTCCACCAATCGCTCCTCTTCCCTCCTGCACCCACTTTCCTGTAACCACAAACTTCTGCTGAACACTAACACTATATTTTTAAACCTACCCCATACCTCTTTGACCCCATTGCCTATGCTCTCATTAGCCCATCTATCCTCCAATAGCTGTTTATATCTTACCCTAACTGCCTCCTCTTTTAGTTTATAAACCTTCACCTCTCTCTTCCCTGATGCTTCTATTCTCCTTGTACCCCATCTACCTTTTACTCTCAGTGTAGCTACAGCTAGAAAGTGATCTGATATATCTGTGGCCCCTCTATAAACATGTACATCCTGAAGTCTACTCAACAGTCTTTTATCTACCAATACATAATCCAACAAACTACTGTCATTTTGGCCTACATCATATCTTGTATACTTTTTTATCCTCTTTTTCTTAAAATATGTATTACCTATAACTAAACCCCTTTCTATACAAAGTTCAATCAAAGGGCTCCCATTATCATTTACATCTGGCATCCCAAACTTACCTACCACACCCTCTCTAAAAGTTTCTCCTACTTTAGCATTCAGATCCCCTACCACAATTTCTCTCTCACTTGGTTCAAAGGCTCCTATACATTCATTTAACATCTCCCAAAATCTCTCTCTCTCCTCTACATTCCTCTCTTCTCCTGGTGCATACACGCTTATTATGACCCACTTTTCACATCCAACCTTTACTTTAATTCACATATTTTTTTTTTTATTTTCTTTTAACAAGTTGGCCATCTCCCACCGATGCAGGGTGACCTAAAAAGAAAGAAAATCCCCAAAAAGAAAATACTTTCATCATCATTCAGCACTTTCACCTCACTCACACAATCACTGTTTTTGCAGAAGTGCTCAGAATACAACAGTTTAGAAGTATATACGTATAAAGATACACAACATATCCTTCCAAACTGCCAGTATCCCAAAACCCCTCCTTTAGAGTGCAGGCATTGTACTTCTCATTTCCAGGACTCAAGTCCGGCTATATAAAATAACCGGTTTCCCTGAATCCCTTCACTAAATATTACCCTGCTCACACTCCAACAGCTTGTCAAGTCCCAAATGCCATTCGTCTCCATTCACTTCTATCTAACACGCTCATGCACACTTCCTGGAAATCCAAGCCCCTTGCCCACACAACCTCCTTTACCCCCTCCAACCTTTTCGAGGACAACCCCTACTCCACCTTCCTTCCCCTACATATTTATACGCTCTCCATGTCATTCTACTTTGATCCATTCTCTCTAAATGACCAAACTACCTCAACAACCCCTCTTCAGCCCTCTGACTAATACTTTTATTAACTACACATCTTCTCCTAATTTCCACACTCCGAATTTTCTGCATAATACAGTACACAAATAACCCGCACATAAAAGAGAGAATCTTACGCCGACGTTTCGGTCTAACTTGGACCATTTACAAAGTCACTTTGTAAATGGTCCAAGTCGGACCAAAATGTCGTCGTAAGTTATTTGTGTATTGTTGCAGTCACAGTATTGTGCCTTTTTTTGTTATTTCTGCATAATATTTACACCACACATTGCCCTTAGACAGGACATCTCCACTGCCTCCAACCGCCGCTTCGCTGCAGCATTTAGAACCCAAGCTTCACACCCATATAAGAGTGTTGGTACTACTATACTCTCATACATTCCCTTCTTTGCCTCCATAGATAACATATTTTGCCTCCACATATATCTCAATGCACCACTTGTTAAAAAAAAATATTTATGTATATAGTATATATCCTAGGTAGTAGGTTGGTAGACAGCAACCACCCAGGGAGGTACTACCGTCCTGCCAAGTGAGTGTAAAACAAAAGCCTGTAATTGTTTTACATGATGGTAGGATTGCTTGTGTCCTTTTTTCTGTCTCATGAACATGCAAGATTTCAGGTACGTCTTGCTAATTCTACTTACACTTAGGTCACACTACATATACATGTACAAGCACATATATACACACCCCTCTGGGTTTTCTTCTATTTTCTTTCTAGTTCTCATTCTTGTTTATTTCCTCTTATCTCCATGGGGAAGTGGAACAGAATTCTTCCTCCGTAAGCCATGCGTGTTGTAAGAGGCGACTAAAATGCCGGGAGCAAGGGGCTGGTAACCTCTTCTGCTGTATATATTACTAAATGTAAAAGGTGAAACTTTCGTTTTTCCTTTTGGGCCACCCTGCCTCGGTGGGATACGGCCAGTTTGTTGAAAGAAGAGATATATATATATATATATATATATATATATATATATATACAGTGGACCCCCGCATAACGATCACCTCCGAATGTGACCAATTATGTAAGTGTATTTATGTAAGTGCGTTTGTACGTGTATGTTTGGGGGTCTGAAATGGACTAATCTACTTCACAATATTCCTTATGGGAACAAATTCGGTCAGTACTGGCACCTGAACATACTTCTGGAGTGAAAAAATATCGTTAACCGGGGGTCCACTGTATAGGTAGTAGGTTGGTAGACAGCAACCGCCCAGGGAGGTACTACCGTCCTGCCAAGTGAGTGTAAAACAAAAGCCTGTAATTGTTGTACATGATGGTAGGATTGCTGGTGCCCCTTTTTCTGTCTCTTAAACATGCAAGATTTCAGGTACATCTTGCTACTTCTACTTACACTTAGGTCACACTACACATACATGTACAAGCATATATATACATACCCCTCTGGGTTTTCTTCTATTTTCTTTCTAGTTCTTGTTCTTGTTTATTTCCTCTTATCTCCATGGGGAGGTGGAACAGAGTTCTTCCTCCGTAGGCCATGCGTGTTGTAAGAGGCAACTAAAATGCCAGGAGCAAGGGGCTAGTAATCCCTTCTCCTGTATATAATACTAAATGTAAAAGGAGAAACTTTAGTTTTTCCTTTTGGGCCACCCCGCCTCGGTGGGATACGGCCAGTTTGTTGAAAGAAGAATATATATACATATAGGTAGTAGGTTGGTAGACAGCAACTGCCCAGGGAGGTACTACTGTCCTGCCAAGTGAGTGTAAAACAAAAGCCTGTAATTGTTGTACATGATGGTAGGATTGCTGGTGCCCCTTTTTCTGTCTCTTAAACATGCAAGATTTCAGGTACATCTTGCTACTTCTACTTACACTTAGGTCACACTACACATACATGTACAAGCATATATATACATACCCCTCTGGGTTTTCTTCTATTTTCTTTCTAGTTCTTGTTCTTGTTTATTTCCTCTTATCTCCATGGGGAAGTGGAACAGAATTCTTGCTCCGTGTCGTAAGAAGCGACTAAAATGCCAGGAGCAAGGGGCTAGTAACCCCTTCTGTATATATTACTAAATTTAAAAGGAGAAACTTTGGTTTGTTCTTTTGGGCCACCCTGCCTCAGTGGAATATGGCCGGTTTGTTGAAAGAAAGAAGAAAGATATAGATAATCATAGCTAACAATTTGTAATGATTATTGACATGATAATGTCCAGTATATTGATGATAAATTATGGATGAATAAATTTTTCTAGCTGATTCTTCTTAATGAAGGTAGCTATGATAGAAATAGAAAATAAAATAGATACAATAATTAGGTAAGCTTCACTTATTTGCACACTGCAGAATCGCCAGCAGTTGTCAGCATCAGCACAGCAGCAGCAACAGCAGGAGCAACAATCTCTAACTAAAAGTGTTGCTGCACTGAGCCTTGATGGAGTTAGTACAAGAAAAGTTAATGTGGTAAGTGGATAATACTGTATCTGTAATATTTTGTATCATAAAGTATGATAGTCTGTGATAACTTATCAAGGCATTTTTCTCAAAAAAAACTATATGGGACTTACAATTTTATTTATTATTATTTAACACCCCAGCCATCTCCCACTAAGTTAGAGTGACCTCAGAAAAGAGGAAGCACACTCACCACTTACTTAATCACTGTCTTGCCAGAAGTATGGTGACATCACATTACAGATGGCCTGAATTGCATTATTTTTACCCATCCTTCAGAGTGCAGGCACTGTATTTCCTGCCTCCAGGCCTTAATAAAGTTCATCTAACCAGTTTCTCTGAATCCCTTCTTGTCAAGTCATAAAAACCAAGTCTGTTGGACGTTCAGGCCCATAGCAGTCAAAACCTTCTTTAAACCACCCATCAAGCCCTTCCTGGAATGACTCCCTACCCTTCCTTCCTTCCACTCCTTGTCATTCTATTTTGTTCCATCCTCTCTAAATATCTTAACCACTTCAAAAAACCCTCCTCAGTCCTCTGAATGATACGTTTGGTAATTCCAGTATATTTTAGTATACACCTACCATCCGACTTACGACCTGCTCGACTTACGACCACTCGACTTATGACCGTGTTTTTTATGCCAAATTTCTGGGAAATAAACAACTATTTGTGTTGTACACAGTGTTTATCCTAAACCTTACAGTATAAAATACAGTACTAAGAGCATAAAAAGTAAAGTAAAACATGAAATACCAAAATAAAACAATAAGATAAAGTCATTACAAAAATGTTTTGTTGATATTCAGTAGTAAAGTTCGACTTACAACCATTTTGACTTACGACCGGTTTCTCGGAACCGAACTCTGTCGTAAGTCGGATGGTAGGTGTACTGTATCTTATATTCATGTTCCCTTTTAATTTCATTAGGGCCAGACACAGTTTATATAGGAGAAAAATTCAGAAGTTTGACAGAAATAATTAAAAAATTGTTATCCCTTAATCATTTTTTTCCAGCCTGCAGTGAGCAGTGTTGCTGAATTCATACCAGGGCCAGGTGGAGGTGGAGGTCTTGCCCACTCATCCTCCACCCCATCTTTCCACTCATTCTCAGGCCTTGGCTCACCCAGCCTCTCCACTCCATCCTCCTTGGGTTTTTCTCCCATGACACGGTCTTCACCGGCTGCAACGATAGCATCCCCGCAGAGACCGATATCGCCTCAGGATTCCCCGAGCAGAGGACGATGTTCCCCACAAAATAGTGGAGAGGACAATAATGCTTCCAATTTGTCCACCTATCAGGAAAATGTTGGGGGGACAACCTACTTTTTTACTACACAAGACCAGCCCTCGTTTGGAGCTAGTGCAGCTACTGCATCTCCGGCTTCATTCACTGCTGGTCCTCCACCAGCTCTTGTGTTCCCACCATACCATATTTTACCGCCCACGCCTGCCCATGTCCATCACTTGAGGGCTCCCAACAATACCCCACACTTCTTTATGGGTGATGAATTGCGAAATGAAATACTGGAAAGACATGCAATTACGCTGGCGCATGTTGACCCAGAGCAGTTTTCTGGTAAGCTTGAATACATAAATTTGTTGATGTCTGTATTTATGTATTATTTATGTGCTTTTTTCTTTGTATAATATGTAAGTACAGTTCAGTCAAACTAATCCAAAATGTACTGTATGTATGAAAGAAACACTTTGTATGAAAAGTGCATTAATAGTATTGAAAAAATCTTGTGTATGGCTTGGATTTTTAATCTGAGGTGTAGGCTTTGCCGCTAAATATTCATTAAGTTGTATTTTGTTGGTGTCACTCGCTTCTTGAATGTGTTTGTTAATATAAACTTGTTCTCAGGGTCAGAAATTTTTCGAAAAAAAAAAATTCTTATGAAATGATAGGATAGAGAATCTTTTCCTGATCATAATGACACCAAAAGTATGAAATTTGATGGAAACCTTATGGAATTATGCTCTCGTGAAGTTAGCGGTCTTGACGATGTTTACACATCGGCAATTCCGCCCGCTTTGAGCCCTATTTTCGGCCAATTCCAACATACCAGTCGACAAAAATCATAACTATTTCGCTAGAACTCCATTTTCTCCATTGAATGAGTATAAGAAACCACCCATTTACCGATTTCAACTATCCAGTAAAGTGATCACAAATTTCGAAAGATGCCAATTTACAAATAGGGTCCAGAATTAACAAGACAGACATTCCTGGCACTAAAGTAGCATTTTTTCTGTTCATTAGTCACGTCCCCAGGCCTCTCTTACATTTCTTTTGCTTTCCACTTTGAATTTTTATTCTCACAGAAAATAGAAGATTTACTGTTATGCAGACTACTGCATTAGTGTAGAAATGGTATAAATAATATCAGCACACTTGTGAAAGAATATTAGACTCACCAGTTGACGTGTATTGGACGTGTGGCATGATTTATTTATTTTTGAACTTTGGCAAAAATCGAACATTTCTGCTACTCTGAGCTCAATTTCAAGATACTTTTCATTGTGAAACCAATCAAAATCATCTCAGTTTCTGTAATATGTCTACTATTCTATAAAATGAGGCCAGGAAAAGTAGAATACAACCATAAATAGCATACGAAAATACACTGCAGTCACTGTTTTAAAGCAAAAACACAGTTGGAGTTTTTTTTTTTCTCATTATGCACTGTGTGCTGCAGGATTTTTTTTATACTGTACACACTGACCACATAGACCCATTCTTTCATATGTAGGCCTACCAGCTTTCTCTCGCTAGATTTGAAGGTGCTAGCATTTATGTGTACTAGTACGGCACCAACCCTGGCGTGCAAGCCGTACTAGTATGGCACCAACCCTGAAAGGGTTAATGAAAGAGGGATCACCCCCTTTTGTTCACTGAAGTTACCCTACTTTAAAAATTATAGGAAGGTTTGGGATTCAAGTGATTTGTTAAACTCGGTAACTTCACAACTTTGCAAATTTTGTGACATTAAAAACTGTCTTTAACAAAGATGAAGAATCAATATCACTGCATTCCATTACATGACCTCTTCAGTTGGACTGAAAGGGCTATGTATTGTGATGCAATGAGACTTTTTTTTTTTTTATGGTTAATAATGGAGTGTGTCTGATTTTTTGAAGAGCATTGGTATGGCTAATGATAGCACTGTACATGTTCAACTTTAAATGTTTTTGGGAAACAACCTATTTTACAAAAGTTTGTAGTAGGTTGGTAGATAACAACTATCCAGGTAGGTACCATTATCTGTCATACAAGTGTGAAACTAAAGCCTGTCAGGTTCTACATTTTGGCAGGATTGTGGATTGTTTCTTTCTGTCCCTTGAACATGTAAGTAGATGGTATGTAACTCTTATACACTTCTATTTACATTCAATGTACACATCTCTAAATTCCTGTGTTTCTGAATGGTTGTTATTCTTTCAGTATACTTGCATTCAGTTTGAGGAGACCCTGTCTCGAAACCAAGTTGCTAGGGTAATGATCCCTGGAATCATTTGCAGATAAATATTATGCAACAGTGTTTTATATACTAAATATGTGGTAGTGTTAAACCTTTTTTTTTTTTCTTTTAATTTCAGATTTACCTCAGGAAATCGATATGTACCATGAGCTAGTGCCATTGGAGCCTCAACACACCGTAAACAAATCATCAATTTTTGGTTATGCTTCCTCTGTGTATAAGGTAGGTATTTACTAAGCATATTTTTATATTAAGATATTGAAAGTTATAAATATAAAAATACCTCTTTTTTTTTTTTTTTCTTATGTTGGCCGTCTCCCACTAAGGCAGGGTGACCCAAAAAATAAGAAAGAAGATATGTACTTTCACCATCTTTCACACATAATCACTGTCTTTGCAGAGGCACTCAGGTATAACAGTTCAGATATCACTCCAAACAGCATATATCCCAAACCCCTCCTTAAAAGTGCAGCCATTGCACTTTCCACCTGCAGGACTTGAGTCCAACTAACCAGTTTCCCCGAATCCCTTCACAAAATATTACCCTGCTCACAACTCATCAAGTTCCAAAAGCCACTCATCTCCTTTCACTCCTATCTAACATACTCATACATGTCTGCTATATGTCTAAGCCTCTTGCATACAATCTCTTTTACCTCCTCTCTCCATCCTTTCCTAGGGTGATCCGTCCTCCCCCCACTACAGATTTATACACCCTCCAAGTCATTCTGTTTTGCTCCATCTTCTGTACATGACTAAACCACCTCAGCAACCCCTCCTGAGCCCTCTGAATATTACTTTCAGTAACTCCACACCTCTTCCTAATTTCCACACTACAAATTCTCTGCATAATATTTACACCACACATTGCTCTTAAGCATGACATTTAACGTACGTTGGTTTATACTCGCCTCTTTGTGGTTATTATTTGTATCTAAAGGAGGAGCGCTATGCTCATTGTGTCCTGTCTTGTGCGTTTTATCTGTTATGCATATTTGAATTTTCTTAATTTCCAGTGTCTTTGTACTCCATTTTGTTGCTTTATCACTCTTGTTTGTAAAGAAAACCATTATAATATTCCATCAGCACCATTTCTAATTTTACATTTGTGGCCTTCCTTGTTCTCTCTGTTGATGGCACAAAGGTCTTTTGTTGTATTTTTTTTTATTATGTTCATGGGAAGCTCTAAACTTGTAGTAGTCATACAGCACTTGAGGGATAAGAGATAATCAGGTTTTTATCCAAGGCAGGGAAGGGTAGCTCCAGTTGTCCTTGTATACCCTTGTGGTTATCTTTCCTCATATGAGCCAATGAGGAATTTTTAGTGTTTTCAGCCTTCATGACTTGTGTGGGGTGGATAGTTGTTAGAGAAAAGAAAGTGAGAAAGTAGATAGTGAGTGAGCGAGAGAGAGAGATTGTTCTGACTGGACTGGACTAGGCTTCACAGGACTGGACTGGACTTGGCTGATTTATTTGACTAACTGACCTGACATAATATTCGTCAATATTTGTGCAAGTTGATGCTAATATTTTTCCTGTTACTCTTTAGGGTACCAATATCAAGACTGGGCTACATTATTGCCTTTACCGTATCCATGGATTTCGGTTGAGCAACGTTAAAGTCACTCAGCTAGTGGATCTATGGAAGAAGTTACAACATTCCAGTGTGACACAGTTGAGAGAAGTCTTCACTACTAAGGCCTTCAATGACAATTGTAGGGTATTCATTTTATATTTATGCAAAGTATATTAGTGTTTCAAAATGTTTCTATACACCTTATCTGCTAGTTTTTGTAAAATTCTTTTATGTAATTGTTTCTTATATTTTTAAGAGATTTTTTATAAGAAATTACATTTTAGATTTGCAGTGGAACCAATGTTTACCTCTATTATCATTATTATTAGTCCATATACTTTTTTCAGTTAGCAGTGGTTTTAGCACATAATACCTCCTATTGGATCCTATTTTAGTATTTTTGCAGAAATGCTTCTGTATCCATTTATAGTTATGGTCTCTTGCTCTCTCTGTTGATGGTGATAAGCCATCTTTTTTCCATTTTTTTTATTACCTTGATGGCCATCTCTCACCAAGGCAGGGTGACACAAAGAAGAAAACACACTAACCATTATTCATTCAAGTGCTTCTTTCCAAAAAAGTGTCCTGACATCACAGTTCAGATTATCCTCCAAGTGCAACATCCCCATCCTTTCAGTATGCAGGCACTTCACTTTCTACCTCCAGGACTCAAGTCTGGCTAACCAGTTTCCCTGAACTCCTTCATAAAAATTACCTAGCTCATACTCCAACAGCATGTTCATTAAAAACCACTTGTCTCCATTCACTCTTATTTTAACCCCTTAACTGTCCAAACATAGATCTACGTTCTTACCGCTAGCGCTCCAAACGTAGATCTACGTTTTATTTTTCCTGCTTCCAAATTTGGCACGATTGGCCTAAGATGCTTTGTCAGCATAGAATGGGTCTTAACCCTCGGTTTGCGCTGTATTAAAAAAACCTGTGACCATTTAGTACCTTGTGGGAACACCAGTTCAATTGAGCGCCAGCTAGAGCAAACAGTGTGGCATACACCAAGGATTCACTGATGTCATGTAGTATTAACACTCCCCTTTTAAGAGGAAAGCGTCATCTTGCCAGAATGTCCTATAACCTATGCCCTAAGTAAAAAGAAACAAGTCTGGAATTGTAACTTCAGCAGGCTAGCTGGCGGCTGGCTGATTGGCTGTCTCTATCTCAGTCTGTCTGTCTGTATCTATCTCTGTCTGTATCTGTCTCTGTCTCACAGGAACACATCCGTAAATACAATTATACATAGTGTAAATTACCTAGGATAACCCAAAAAATCCAGACGAAGTGCTATTCTGGAACTGTAATTCCGGCAGGCTGGCTAGCCGGTGGCTGGCTGGCTGGCTGGCTGATTGGCTGTCTGTATCTCCATCCATCTGTCTGTATCTATCTCTGTCTGTATCTGTCTGTCTCACAGGGACACATATGTAAATACAATTATACATAGTGTAAATTACCTAGGACAACCCAAAAAAATCTAGACAAAGTGCTATACTGTGCTTGTAGATAGTGATTGTGTGTAATACCAGATGGTTCATGAGCAATTGTTTGAGACAAAAAGATAGAGAGAGATAGATAGACATAGACAGAAAGATAGAGACAGATAGACATAGACAGGCAAACAGACAGACATGTCTATGTGTAAGAGTGAAAACAATAAAGCGATGGCTCATCATATGTCACCACTGTCAGCGGAGAGATAAGATAAGACGATGCTCATCAAGTGTCACCACTGTCATTAGCGGAGAGATAAGATTAGATAAGATTCATCATTATCAGCAGTAGAGTGAAGAGATAAGACAAGTGATACACTCTTACATCAAGCTTCAGGGGAACTTATTATTATTATTATTTGTTGTTATTATTATATACTCCCGTGTATCCGAAACATTGCTGGGACCTATAAATACTATGTATATATTTCTAGACAATAGTATGTGACTAAGGTAAAAATGTTCAGCTGTCACTGTGTGACTATTTGAGCACTATTTCAGTATTTAATATTAGTGTCAGAACAAAGATTAACTTTGAAATCACAAGAACTACAAATTGTCATTATCAGAATATAATTTTTTTTTTTTAACAAGTCGGCCGTCTCCCACCGAGGCAGGGTGACCCAAAAAGAAAGAAAATCCCCCAAAAGAAAATACTTTCATCATCATTCAACACTTTCACCTCACTCACACATAATCACTTCATGTTGCGGTCAGATGAGTGACAAGTGCCAACTTTGCTGCCTTATATCTCAGTAAGTACTGACTCTAGAATTTTTTTTTTACATTACTTTATGTAAAAAGTGCTCTTCGTTTAGAAAAAAAAATTATTTTTTTTATTTTTCAAAATATCCGGACCACTGGGCGAGAGAACGTAGATCTGCGTTTGGACAGTTAAGGGGTTAACACACTCACACAAGCCTGCCATATTCTCAAACCCCTAAATCTCAGAGCCTCTTGTACTCCCTTTCTTCACCTGTTACTGGGACAGCCCCTGCCCCTCCTACCCTCCACCTCAGATTTATACACCCTCTTTGTCATCCTGTCTCTTTTCATCCTTGCATACCCAAACCACTCGGCAACTCTTCGTCAGCCCTCTGAATTATATCCTTGGTGACCCCACATCACGTATTAAATTCTATGTTCATTTTTTTTTTTAACACAAGCAATCTTCAACCACGGTAGGGCGACCTGAAAAAGAAACTTTCACCATCATACACTCCATCACTATTTTGCCAGAGGTGTGCCAATACCACAATTCAGATACCCCCTCAAACCACAGATATCCTCACCCATCCTTCAGAGTGCAGGCACTGTACTTCTCTCCTCCACAGTTCAAGTGGCTAATTGGTTTTCCTGAATCCTTTAACAGAATGTTACCTTGTTCATATTCCAACAGCTCGTCAAGTTCCAGAAACCATTTGCCTCCACTTGCTCGTATTTAGCACTAATTCTTTGCATGATATTCACACACCACACTGCCCTATTGCAGCATTTTCTAAATTTGGTCTTTTTTTTTTTGTGAATAGTTTTTTATTCGCCTCAACATCCATATGTGTATTGGCAGTATTGAAGCATGCCAGTGTAACATTTGCTTCTCATCAATTTATTTATAATTTTGCAATGAGAGTCATTCATTTCAGTTCTTTTCACTATATCTCAGTATTATTTACATGTCCTTTTATTGTATAGCTGTGCTGTTTCCATTACATAGCACTTACCTACACTAAATCCATCATCCATCTGTCACTCTGCTTAACTTTTTAGTCCTGTTGGGATTTAAACTAATTTTTGCTTGCCTATTTTGCATTGGATATTTGCAACAGGTGTAAAGAAAGAAAGTTGAAAGTGAACATAGATAAGAGTAAGGTGATGAGGGTATCAAATGATTTAGATAAGGAAAAATTAGATATTACATTGGAGGGAGTATGGAAGAAGTGAATGTGTTCAGATATTTGGGAGTAGACCTCTCAGTGGATGGGTTTATGAAGGATTGGGTAAACCATAGTAATGATGAAGAAAAAAGGTAGGTGATGCATTGAGGTATCTGTGGAGGCAAAGTGGAGTGGAGTGGAGGTGTGGAGTTAATAAAGGTACAGTGGAACCTCGAATATCGAACTTAATCCGTTCCAGGAGCTAGTTCTAAATTCGAAAAGTCTGAAATTCGAAGCAATATTTCCCATAAGAAATAATGGAAATACAATTAATCCATTCCAGAAACCCAAAAATATTAAAAAAAAATGCATTTTGTAGAGATTAATTACAGTTTTACATACACACAACAAATGCTATAGTCTTTAATTATGTATAGTAATATAAAATAACATTTTTACTTACCTTTATTGAAGATTGGTGATGGCATCTGGAAGATAGGGAGGAGGAGAGAGGGAGTTGGGGTTATTGTTTGGAAGGAGAATCCCCCTCCATGAGGACTTCCGGTATCAAAGCCCTCTCTGGGGTTGCTTCCCTTCTCTTTATTGTAATGCCACTAGGACCAGCTTGAGAGTCATTGGACCCCAGTCTCTCAAAATAACTGTCCACAGTTGTCTGCTTCTGTCTCACAAAATAACTGTCCACAATTGTCTGTTTGTCTCACAAAATAACTCCACAGTCGTCTGTTTCTGTGTCACAAATAACTGTCCACAATCGTCTGTTTGTCTCACAAAATAACTCCACAGACGTCTGTTTGTCTCACAAAACTCACGTCTCTGTTGTCTCACAAATAACTCCACAGTCGTCTGTTTGTCTCACAAAAAACTGTCCACATCTCGTTGTTCAAAATAACTGTCCACAGTCGTCTGTTTCTGTCTCACAAAATAACTGTCCACAATCGTCTGTTTGTCTCACAAAATAACTCCACAGTTGTCTGTTTCTCACAAAATAACTCCACAGTCGTTTGTTTCTGTCTCACAAAATAACTGTCCACAGTCGTCTGTTTCTGTCTCAAAATAACTGTCCACAGTCCTCTGTACATCCTGGCAAGCTCAACAAGTCTCACTCCAATCTCATACTTCTGTATTATTTCCTTCTTCACATCTATGGCGTTTCTCACTTTCTTTACCACAGGGGTACCACTAGCAAGTTTCTTTGGGCCCATGGCAGCTTATTTCACAGTCCCACAAGCACTAAACACAACGAAATAATCGTAAAATGTGTGAATGAGAGTGCAGGTTAGTGTTCACTCAAGCCTAAACAAAGCTAGACTGCTCACGGCGCCTGTGCGGAGACGCGGACAGAGCGGGCCAGCGGACAGGTCCCGTACCTGGTGGTCCGAAATTAGAGGCGTGTTCGATAATTGGGACACAGTTTGTCCAAAAAAATGGTCTTATTTTCGAAACGTTCGATATTTGATACGTTCGATTTTTGAGGTTCCACTGTATTATTCAGAGGGCTGAGTAGGGGTTGAGGTACTTTGGTCATTTAGAAAGGATTTAGGAATATAGGATGACTTGGAGGGTGTATAAATCTAGAGGAGGGAAGGAGGAGTAGGGGCCATCCTAGGAAAGGATGGAGGGAGGGTAAAAGGGGATTTGTGTGAAAGGGGCTTGGACATACAGCAGGCATGTGTGAGTGTGTTAGAAGTGAGTGGAGACGAATGATTTTTGGGATTTGATGAGCTGTTAGAATGTGAGCAGGGTAATATTTTGTGAAGGGATTCAGGGAAACCGGTTAGCTGGACTTGAGTCCTGGAGGTGGGAAGTAGTGTCTGCACTTTAAAGGAGGGGTTTGGGGTATTTGCTGTTTGGAGTGACATTTGAACTGTTGTATCGGAGTGCATCTGCAAAGACAGTAATTTTGTGTGAATGATGGTGAAAGTGTTTTTCTTTTTTGGGTCACCTTACCTCAGTGGGAGATGGCCTGTGTGCCAAAAAAAATATTTATCTGTTGCAGACATGTTTGTGTACTTTATTATTCCTTCTGGTAAGCCATGTCAGTTAGAAGCATTATTGGAGCAAGTGCTGATCCTTGTGGGATCCTGTTTATTGTTCAACTCTATAAGTTTTTTTTTTCTCATTCCTTTCAAGCTGAAAACTTAATATCCATTTTCTCACTTTGCCCTATACAGTGGACCCCCGGTTAACGATATTTTTTCACTCCAGAAGTATGTTCAGGTGCCAGTACTGACCGAATTTGTTCCCATAAGGAATATTGTGAAGTAGATTAGTCCATTTCATACCCCCAAACATACACGTACAAACGCACTTACATAAATACACTTATGTAATTGGTCGCATTCGGAGGTGATCGTTATGCGGGGGTCCACTGTATTCTTCCTATGGTTTTTTGGTTCCTGATTGGCCTTTTGTGGGGAATTTTAATAATTTGCATCTGATTGAAAGTGATATTTCTGTTTCTTAAAAAGTTTATCTTGACTATTAGTAGTCAGAGTTTATACCTGGAATATATACAGTCTGTCATTAGCCATCTGAAGCATCTGACCTGGAGCCTTTGAATTAGGCACATTTTTGGACTTGAGAAATAAAGAATGTCAGCATTAAGCATGTAGCTCTGCACTAGAAGCAGTCAGGTGACCCAAACGTCACTGAATATCCTAGGTATTTGTACCAGTACTGTACTGTATGTTGCTGTTTCTTTTGCTAGACTGTTATAGATACTTGTATGTAACAATAACAGTGCACATACACAAAACGTTGTATACAGTATTTTGCTGGAATTTTTTTTTTTTTTTATAGTTCAGTAATAGTTTTGAATAAATAGAATTAAAACTTTTCCTTTTACAAAATTAGAAAAATATGAGTTTATTTATATAGAAGGGAGACTTATAGCCATATAGTATTGTATTTTGATGGAAATAAATGAACAGTTTGTATAAATGCCAAAGTGTCCAGTCCACTGTATACCATACCTCATGGTGCACTAAACATTTCCTTAGAAAGCAATAATGTATAACTTTTTGACAATTGTCATTAGACAGTACATAATGCATAACTTTTTGGCAGTTTTCACTGGATTATGCTTACAAAACTTATTGAAGTTGCTGAAGTTGAATCAAACAAACTTTACTGGCACATGAGAACTAATGCTGCTAATGGAAATTTAAGCAAGCCATACCTTATAATTAAATTTGGTACACTGATAGATTATTGTTATCCAGAGTTGAGAGCAGAGTGCAAAAATACAGCATGATCATAAGCATAAGTTGAACTTCGTAATTTAAAATAGTAATTGGATTGAGCATTTTAATGGGAAATCTGTGACAAATTTGTCTGACAGACAGTACTACCTCTGCTCTGTTGCTTGAAGCAAGTTTCTCTCACAACAAAAGTGACAGTTATGTTGGCATTGCTAAAGGTTTGTTAATTTGGAGAAAAAATGTAATAAAATGCCTACAGGAAGAGGATAGGAGATATGGTTCCCCACAAGCCACAGTATAGGGGTAATTGTACCTATTAGGTTATCTTTGTTGCTTTATGTATTATGCATAGATATAATTTTTTGCATAGCCACATGAATGAAATGGAGGCCTGATGAAGGTTGCTGCATTGTCCTGAACACATTAGCTGATAGGTTAATCTTGCAGACTTCTGCTTAGTCAGTAAACACAACACATGCAGTTTCAGACCTGGTCTGAAACTGCACTGAGGGGGTTGATGGTGCCTGGAACCATTAATGTATTAACAAGTATTAGTGTATTTTGGCATATTTCTTTTATTTTTTAATTGAATGGCTATATTTTTATTTCTTTAAAATTAAATATATTTCACAGCCATAGTGTTTGTTTATGACTACCATGCTGGTGCGGAGACTCTGGCTTCTCGGCACTTCTCATCTACAAATGCCTTAACAGCAAATGGTTGGGAAGGGCTAACAGGCTCTCCAGGGGGAAATGGGAGTAGCAACTCTCATGATCCTCCTACACGAGGTATTCACAAGAGTCATCGGCAGAATTCTAGCAGTAGTAAGTCGTACTCTTTTAAAGTGGTTGCTCACATAGCTTTGAAACTTATTAATGATGATGATATTTTTTAGTTGTTACTTGACCCCAAAGGATGTATAATTATAAATGTGTTTTCTTCTTTGGTCACACTACCTTGGTGGGAAATGGCCATTGTAATAAAAAAAATCAAATATAAAGAAAAATCATGTATTGAAAGCCACTTTTGTAGATGCATGCTAAATACAAGCAGAGTATTAGGAGATGATCAGGCCATGGGAAGCTACCTGCTTTATTACATAGCTTATACAAGACTTAGAGGAAACAGGGCTAAGTGGTCCTATTCTAGATTAAAAAATTAAAGTTTAATGTCATTTTTGCCTAGTCTTTTACTTGAAGTACTTTGAGAAAGGTCTGGTGGGAAAATTAATTCTGGTTAACAGGATATATTGTAGATGCTTAATGTGTGGGCATGTCACATTATACTGTATCTTAAAAACATAGTTAGTTTTGTCTTTGTGTACTTGTATGCTATTTCTGAAAATTTGTAAATAAATGCTGTATTTTGCCCCCTCCACCCTCCTGTTTTTTTTTTTTTTTATTATATCATGTGAGTATCTAGAAAAGTAAATAGTCACACCATTCTTCAGTGTAATGAACATATTTTTTTATGCATAAGATAATCAAAGAAGCAGCATGAGTACAAAATAATGTCAGTATTAACTCATTTGTTGTCTCTCATATGATGTGCTTTATAGATGCCAGCTTCACTCACATGGTTGAATGTTTTATGCACAATGTCTTCAAATATGCTGTGAGTGGTAAATTTTGACCTAGACATAAGAGAATGGGTGTGTGGTGATTGTGCACTGTATAAAAAAATTCTGCCCCATGTAGTGCATGATGGGAAAATCAAACTTTAAGAAACTTTTAAAGCATTTTTCAGGGAGGTGGTTATGATTTTATTGGCTGTTTCTTTGTATCAATTGATAGAATAGAAAACATGTTAGTGAAGTAGAGACGATTTTAGTTGTTTCAAAACCATAAGTAACTTTAAATAGGGTTCGAAGTAATTGGAAGGGTGGGGTCTTCCTTTATATACCTGGACAGTTTTATGGGTTTTACTACCTGTTTCAGTTATAAGGATGACCTAAACTATGACCAGTTATTCTGGGTTATATTTTACTAATCTGAGAAATGGAGAGCACATGTTACATAGAAGTGCTTGGGGACATTGTGAAATACAATGAAATACTTAATGTTTATTTTGGACTCTGTTTTAACAAAGTCTTCTAATGGGCAAATGAAATAACATGATTTTCACTGGTGACAAATTTCAACTGTTTAGGAATTGGAGGAATAAAGACCTCAAAATTAGCACAGTGTATAGAATGCAGGCAGACTATATCATAGTGCACAAGGAACAGCTAAAAGGCTTTAGAATAATTATTTCAGAGTATCTGTCCTTTGAGAACACAATAATGAAAATGCATCAGAAGCTAGGACAATAACAGGGAGGATTATGAGAACTTTCAAAATGAAAAGCAACACCAGTGGTGGTTCTTCTCAAATAATTTGTGCTCTCATTACTAGTATATTGTTCTCACAGTGCCTGATTACGATAGGAGAAAGAATGGAGCCCGAGTTTGATCTTGTTTGCCAGATGGTTAACAGAAGGCCCTGGCCTCAGGCTGGGTTGTGAGCTTAGAAGAGTCCTTCAAGCCAGCCACAGGTAAAAAAAGAACTGAGAACTTTAACCCTTTCAGGGTTGGTGCCGTACTAGTACGGCTTGTGCACCAGGATTGTTGTCATACTAGTACAAGTAAATTCTAGCACCTTCAAATCGCTCTGGTAGGCCTACATGTGATAGAATAGGTGTGCGTGGTAAGTGTGTGCAGTAGGAAAGAAATCTAGGCATCCACATTGCATTGTGGGAGTGGTAATTGAGTGTGCCTTTGTCACCAAGCCAAGTGATAAGGAATACCTCACTCTTCCTCACTCTCTGGCGAATTGAGACTGGCTGGCTGGTTGACTGGTTGGTTGTCTCTGCCTCACAGGTACACATAAATATAAATATACGTAGTGTAAATTTCCTAGGATAACCCAAAAAAATTACATACAAAGTGCTATACTGTGCTTGTAACCATGACTGGCAAATAATACATATCAGAACTTAGATGTGACACAGTGACAACTGCGTCGTGTGTAATACCTGTTGGTTCACGAGTGGCTCTCTCTGAGACACAGAGAGAGAGACAGAGACCGAAAGACAGAGACCGAAAGACAGATAAGAAGAGACAAACAGAGAGCTAGACAGACCAACGGGCAGATACACAGACAGACAGACATGTTTATGTGTAACAGTGAAAACAAACAAAGCCTAGGCAGTGCACACTCATCAAATGTCACTCCACTGCTGACCAGTCAGCAGTGGAGTAACACTGGTCTTACACTATGCTTCAATTATTATTATTTTTTTTTTTTTACAAGTTGGCCATCTCCCACTGAGGCAGGGTGATCCAAAAATAAAGAAAATCCCCAAAAAGAAAATACTTCCATCATCATCCAAAACTTTCACCTCACTCACACATAATCACTGTTTTTACAGATGTACTCAGAATACAACAGTTTAGAAGTATATATGTATAAAGAATACACAACATATCCCTCCAAACTGCCAATATCCTAAACCCCTCTTTTAAAGTGCAGGCATTGTACTTCCCATTTCCAGTACTCAAGTCCGGCTATATAAAATAACCAGTTTCCCTGAATCCCTTCACTAAATATTACCCTGCTCACACTCCAACAGCTCATCAGGTCCCAAATACCATTTGTCTCCATTCACTCCTATCTAACATGCTCATGCATGCTTGCTGGAAGTCCAAGCCCCTCTCCCACAAAACCTCCTTTACCCCCTCCCTCCAACCATTTCGAGGACGACCCCTACCCTGCATTCCTTTCCCTACAGATTTATACGCTCTCCATGTCATTCTACTTTGATCCATTCTCTCTAAATGACCAAACCACCTCAACAACCCCTCTTCAGCCCTCTGACTAATACTTCTATTAACTCCACACCTTCTCCTAATTTCCACACTCCGAATTTTCTGCATAATATTTACACACATTGCCCTTAGACAGGACATCTCCACTGCCTCCAACAGCCTCCTCGCTGCAGCATTTACAACCCAAGCTTCACACCCATATAAGAGTGTTGGTACCACTATACTTTCATGCATTCCCTTCTTTACTTCCATAGATAACGTTTTTTGTCTCCACATATACCTCAACCCACCACTCACCTTATTTCCCTCATCAATTCTATGATTAACCTCATCCTTCATAAATCCACCCGCTGATACGTCAACTCCCAAATATCTGAAGCATTCACTTCTTCCATATTCTCCTCCCCAATTTGATATCCAATTTTTCTTTATCTAAATCATTTGGTACCCTCATCACCTTACTCTTTTCTATGTTCACTTTCAACTTTCTACCTTTACACACACTCCTAAATTCGTCCACTAACCTTTGCAATTTTTCTTTAGAATCACCCATAAGCACAGTATCATCAGCAAAAAGTAACTGTGTCACTTCCCATTTTGTATTTGATTCCCTATAATTTAATCTCACCCCTCTCCCAAACACCATAGCATTTACTTCTCTTACAACCCCATCTGTAAATATATTAAACAACCATGGTGACATTACACATCCCTGTCTAAGACCTACTTTTACCGCGAAGTAGTCTCCCTCTCTTCTACACACCCTAACCTGAGCCTCACTGTCCTCATAAAAACTCTTTACAGCATTTAGTAACTTACCACCTATTCCATATACTTGCAACATCTGCCACATTGCTCCCCTATCCACTCTGTCATGTGCCTTTTGTAAATCCATAAATGCAATAAAAACTTCTCTACCTTTATCTAAATACTGTTCACATATATGCTTCAATGTAAACACTTGATCTACACATCCCCTACCCACTCTAAAACCTCCTTGCTCATCCGCAATCCTACATTCTGTCTTACCTCTAATTCTTTCAATAATAACCCTACCGTACACTTTTCCTGGTATACTCAGTAAACTAATTAGTCTATAATTTTTACAATCTCTCTTGTCCCCCTTCCCTATATGCCCCCCTGCTTTTAACATTTCTGTCATGATCCCATAAGTTCCAGCTGCTTTATCCCCTTTCATTCTACGTAATACCTCACGCACCTTCCCCACACTTAAATCCTGCTCTTCTTCACTCCTAAAAGTTGGTATAACTCCCTGGCCAGTGTATGAAATTACCGCCTCCCTTTCTTCGTCGACATTTAAAAGTTCCTCAAAGTATTCTCACCATCTACCCAATACCTCCATCTCCCCATCTACTAACTCTCCTACTCTGTTTTTAACTGACAAATCCATTTGTTCCCTAGGCTTTCTTAACTTGTTTAACTTACTCCAAAAATTTTTCTTATTTTCATTAAAATTTCTTGACAGTGCCTCTCCCACTCTTATCATCTACTCTCCTTTTGCACTCTCTCACCACTCTCTTCACCTTTCTTTTACTCTCCATATACTCTACTCTTCTTATAACACTTCTGCTTTGTAAAAACCTCTCATAAGCTGCCTTTTATTATTATTATTATTATTATTATTATTATTATTATTATTATTATTATTGTATACTCCCGTATATCCAAAACATTGGTGGGACCTATAAATACTATGTATATATTTCTAGACAATAGTATGTTACTAAAATAGGTATAAATGTTCACCTGTCAATGTTTGTGCAGTTATTATGTAGCATATGACGAGTGCATATATCCAAAATATGGCTTATATTGGTCTCACAGGTCATAAAAGTTGCTTGAAAAAATAAAATGTTAAAAGATTAAAAGAAAAAAGTATAAAAAACTATTACCGTATGACCGGTAGTCAGCGATGTTGCCATGAGCAGCTCACTTTGTCAACTTTGCACCTCCATATCTCAGTAAGTATTGATTGCATTTTTTTTTTTTTTTTTTTTTTTTTTTTTTTTTTTTTTTTTTTTTTTTTTTTTTTTTTTTTTTTTTTTTTTTTTTTGCCTATAACACTCAAACCTAGGTAATAGGTTGGTGGACAGCAACCCCCCAGAGAGGTACTACCGTCCTGCCAAGTGAGTGTAAAATGGAAACCTGTAATTGTTTTACATGATGGTAGGATTGCTGGTGTCTTTTTCTGTCTCATAAATATGCAAGATTTCAGGTACATCTTGCTACTTCTACTTACACTTAGGTCACACTACACATACATGTACAAGCATATACATGTATATACATACCCCTCTGGGTTTTCTTCTATTTTCTTTCTTGTTCTTGTTTATTTCCTCTTATCTCCATGGGGAAGTGGAACAGAATTCTTCCTCTGTAAGCCATGCGTGTCGTAAGAGGCAACTTAAATGCCGGGAGCAACGGGCTAGTAACCCCTTCTTTTGTATATATAACTAAATTTGAAAGGAGAAACTTTTGTTTTTCCTTTTGGGCCACCCCACCTCGGTGGGATACAGCTGGTACATTGAAAGAAGAAACACTCACAAAAATGTGCTCTATCGTTTCATAAGAAATTTTTTTTTTCCCTGAGAACAAGATTCAGAGAGACTAGATGCTCTCCATTATTGATTTTTTTTTTTTTTCAACAAGTCGGCCGTCTCCCACCGATGCAGGGTGACCCAAAAAAGAAAGAAAATCCCCAAAAAGAAAATACTTTCATCATCATTCAACACTTTCACCACACTCACATTATCACTGTTTTTGCAGAGGTGTTCAGAATACAACAGTTTAGAAACATATACATATAAAGATACACAACATATCCCCCCAAACTGCCAATATCCCAAACCCCTCCTTTAAAGTGCAGGCATTGTACTTCCCATTTCCAGGACTCAAGTCCGACTATATGAAAATAACCGGTTTCCCTGAATCCCTTCACTAAATATTACCCTGCTCACACTCCAACAGATCGTCAAGTCCCAAGTACCATTCGTCTCCATTCACTCCTATCTAACACGCTCACGCGCGCTTCCTGGAAGTCCAAGCCCCTCGCCCACAAAACCTCCTTTACCCCCTCTCTCCAACCCTTTCGAGGTTGACCCCTACCCTGCCTTCCTTCCCCTATAGATTTATATGCTTTCCATGTCATACTACTTTGATTCATTCTCTCTAAATGACCAAACCACCTCAACAACCCATCTTCTGCCCTCTGACTAATACTTTCATTAACTCCACACCTTTTCCTAATTTCCACACTCCGAATTTTCTGCATAATATTTACACCACACATTGCCCTTAGACAGGACATCTCCACTGCCTCCAACCGTCTCCTCGCTGCTGCATTTACCACCCAAGCTTCACAACCATATAAGAGTGTTGGTACTACTATACTTTCATACATTCCCTTCTTTGCCTCCATAGATAACGTTTTTTGACTCCACATATACCTCAACGCACCACTCACCTTTCCTCATCAATTCTATGATTAACCTCATCCTTCATAAATCCATCCGCCGACACTTCAACTCCCAAGTATCTGAAAACATTCACTTCTTCCATACTCCTCCTCCCCAATTTGATATCCAATTTTTCTTTATCTAAATCATTTGACACCCTCATCACCTTACTCTTTTCTATGTTCACTTTCAACTTTACCTTTACACACATTCCCGAACTCATCCACTAACCTTTGCAATTTTTCTTTAGAATCTCTCATAAGCACAGTATCATCAACAAAAAGTAACTGTGTCAATTCCCATTTTGAATTTGATTCCCCATAATTTAATCCCACCCCTCTCCCGAACTCCCTAGCATTTACTTCTTTTACAACCCCATCTATAAATATATTAAACAGCCATGGTAACATTACACATCCCTGTCTAAGACCTACTTTTACCGGGAAGTAGTCTCCCTCTCTTCTACACACCCTAACCTAAGCCTCACTATCCTCATAAAAACTCTTTACAGTATTTAATAACTTACCACCTATTCCATATACTTGCAACATCTGCCACATTGCTCCTCTATCCACTCTATCATATGCCTTTTCTAAATCCATAAATGCAATAAAAGCTTCCCTACCTTTATCTAAATACTGTTCACATATATGCTTCAATGTAAACACTTGATCTACACATCCCCAACCCACTCTGAAACCTCCTTGCTCATCCGCAATCCTACATTCTGTCTTACCTCTAATTCTTTCAATTATAACCCTACCGTATACTTTTCCTGGTATACTCAGTAAACTTATTCCTCTATAATTTTTACAATCTCTTTTGTCCCCTTTCCCTTTATATAAAGGGACTATACATGCTCTCCACCAATCCCTAGGTACCTTCCCCTCTTTCATACATTTATTAAACAAAAGTACCAACCACTCCAACACTATATCCCCCCCCCCCCCCCCCGCTTTTAACATTTCTGTCATGATCCCATAAGTTCCAGCTGCTTTACCCCCTTTCATTCTACGTAATGCCTCACGTACCTCCCCCACACTTACATTCTGCTCTTCTTCACTCCTAAAAGATGGTATACCTCCCTGGCCAGTGCATGAAATTACCGCCTCCCTTTCTTCCTCATCATTTAAAAGTTCCTCAAAATATTCTCGCCATCTACCTAATACCTCCCTCTCCCCATCTACTAACCCCCCTTCTGTTTTTAACTGACAAATCCATACTTTCCCTAGGCTTTCTTAACTTGTTTAACTCACTCCAAAACTTTTTCTTATTTTCATTAAAATTTCTTGAGAGTGCCTCTCCCACTCTATCATCTGCTCTCCTTTTGCACTCTCTCACCACTCTCTTCACCTTTCTTTTACTCTCCATATACTCTGCTCTTCTTATAACACTTCTGCTTTGTAAAAACCTCTCATAAGCTACCTTTTTCTCTTTTATCACACCCTTTACTTCATCATTATTGATTTTAGTAGCATATATTAATATTGCAGATGATGCTCTTTCACTTTTTATTTTTGTAAATAGGTAGCAGTTTAGGCTCATAGTTATTAGCAAAATTAGTGTATAAATAATTACAGTACTGGATTACAGTGGACCCCGCCTTACAATATTAATCCGTTCCTGAGAGCTCATCGTAAGCCGAAATTATCGTTAGCCGAATTAATTTTCCCCATAAGAAATAATGGAAATCAAATTAATCCGTTCCTGACACCCCAAGGTATGAAAAAAAATTTTTCTTTACCACATGAAATATTAATTTTAATACACACAAACTGAAGAAGACATGCACAATTACTACTCTACTAAGAATAAAATACATGAGACTTACCTTTATTGAAGATCTGGTGATGATTGATGGGATGGGAGGAGGGGAGAGTGTGGAAGTTATTGTTTGAAGGGGAATCCCCTTTCATTAGGACTTGAGGTAGCAAGTTCTTTTCCGGGGTTACTTCCCTTCTTCTTTTAATGCCACTAAGACCAGCTTGAGAGTCACTGGACCTCTGTCGCACAACAAATCTGTCCATAGAGCTCTGTACCTCCCGTTCCTTTAAGACTTTCCTAAAATGGGCCATAACATTATCATTGTACAGGTTGCCAATACGGCTTGCAGTAGCTGTGTGTGGGAGATTTTCATCCGTAAAGGTTTGCAGTTCAACCCACTTTGCACACATTTCCTTAATCTTTTTTCATTTCCATACTAATTCTCACCCTTTTTACCACAGAGATGGCACTAGAAGCTTTCTTGGGGTCCATGGTGACTTATTTTGCAGTTACAAGCACTAAAAACACTGGGATAATGTGAAATGTACCGAATGTATGCGTAGATGCGACTGCAGTGGCTGGCTTGTAAACACTGGCACTGAGGCCACACGTGGGACGCATCCCGGACGAATCACGTAAGGCGAGGCAAAATTTTTGCATTCAAATGCTTCGTATGGCGGATTTAACATAACGCGATGCGTTCGTAAGGCAGGGGTCCACTGTACTTCTAATCACATTCAGAAAGAAACTAGTAGGTGTATTGCTGTGTCAAATTGCTTTTACAAATAGTACAGCTGTATTACATAAAAATCCTTCCATCTTCTGTGACAGGTCTTCTACCAGAATCCACTTTGTGGAACTACATCATCCAGTTGACAGGAGCCCTACGGACCATTCACACACAGGGCCTTGCATGCCGCACATTAGACCCTACAAAAATCCTTCTTATAGATAACAAGGCAAGAATCAGAGTCAACTGCTGTGGAATTCATGATGTATTGAATTTTGATCCAAATGTTGCCAATCCCCTTGCCAGTATGCCGCAGTATCAGGTTTGTAGCTTGTGATAGATAGAGAGTAAAGTTTTGAAATATAAGTAGAATTTAAATTGAAGCATATTGTCTTCTCCATAGTTATACTGTACTATACAGTAAATGGTTTTTAGTAAAGATTTTAAAGTGATGTAGGTGGAGTATGGCTGTGAGATGACTTAGTGATTTGGAAAAATTCATATAGCAGAAGGAGACCTTACATTATTACAACATTTCACCCACAGGAGGCTTCATCAACCTCTTATACGTAAAATGTCATAATGTTGTGTCTTTTCCCTTTAACTTAATACGTGTATTTTAAAATTAACTATTTTAGTATTATGCATTTATATACAGTATTTGACTATTTTTTTAGTGTTGAATATTTCTGACTATTTTAAGTACGAAAATATATCCTGTATACTACTATGCATATTTTTTCCAGCAAGAGGACCTGGTGAATTTAGGTAAACTGATGGTGGCCCTTGCATGCAATTCTGTGCTTGCATTGCAAAGAGATAATATCCAGACTGCCCTTGAATTAATCAATCGCTCATATTCACGTGATTTAGCCATGCTGGTGGTCTGCCTCCTTACCTCGCAACGCATCAAGAGTATAAATGATGTTATGCCAATGATTGGAGCAAGGTAATTCATTTATATTGATTCACTTCAGTCTGAAAAGTTTTGTTAATTCTAATCAAAATTTAATTGTTAAAAAGAAAGTTTATGTTTTGTTATTTGTGCTTCACTTAGTAGCCCAGTTTGATACTGTGACACATTCACAAAATTCCTGTTTTCTAAAGAATAAAGCGGCACAATACACAAATAACCGACACATAGGAGACTGTAACTTATGATTATGTTTTGATCTGACTTGGATCAATAACTAGGCAAACATGGACTGGTCTCCTATGTGCTGGTTAATTGCGTATTGCTGTTTTCTAGATTGCTCATTCAGACCATATTTTCTGCAGATTTACTAAAAAAATTTACCTAGTTATATTTAATTTGCCAAATCTGTGTACAGTCTCTGTTTTGTTCTTGTAGTTTCCAGTACTCTTGTATTTTTTTGCAATAACTTATTGTCCATATTCCTTCTCTCTATTAATAATTTATCACTATGCTGTTGAAGTGCAAGCAAGGTAACATTTTTGAAGGGATTTATTAAAACCTGTTCATTGGACTTGAGTTCTGGAGGTGCCAAGTACAATGCCTGCATTGTAAAAGAGGGAAAGAGGGGTGAGGATGTTACAGTTTGGAAGGTCATCTGTATTGTGATGTCAGCAGACTTCTGGCAAGACTGTGGTTGAATGATTGATGATGAATGAGTTTCCATTTTTTTTTGGGTCACCCTACTTTTGTGGTGGGAGAGAGTTGGTATGTTAAAATGATCCGAGCCATAAGACAAGGGTGTACGTTTTTTTAAAGTGGTTCTGTATGTTACCAATTGTACATTGGCTCTAGCCATATGATGAAGGGTATACAATACTTCTCCCCCCCCCCCCCCACCCACAAAAAAAAGTCAACTTTCTACCAGTATTATAAAGTACAGTACAGTGAACCCTCTAATTAACAGACTAATAGAGGGGTAGTGGGTGCATATTATTGTTAACTGTCTGTAGATTCTGAATTTTTTATGAGTGGGATGACCAGACTGGGTGGGTCATTGGTCTAATCCAGGGGGGGACATGGACCTGCTCTGCATGGGTCAGTAGGCCTGTTGCAGTGTTCCTTCTTTCTTATGTTCTTACGTAGCATAAACTGCCAAAGTTCTGAATCGTTAGACTTAGTCCACTGATTCAGAAGCCTACCAAACACTAAGAAAATGAATATTGCAGCCTGTAGTACTACAGTACCGTACTATATAGGAATTATATGGTACAGAATTTACAGTAATTTTACTTACCTGTTTTGTGAAGAGAGGAGGTGTAAACTACCGTGGTTGACAGAGGTGACTCAGAAGACTTCTCTGACCAAGAAGAAATAGATGGCTGAGAAGACGGCTCAACTTTGTCCAAGGGTGCACCACTAGCCTGACCATAATTATTGTTTTCACATTACTCAAGCCATGACATTTATGGAAATACCAAAGCCAACCATCATTTGCCTGAAATTCTATGTTCATATGTTTTGCTAGCCTATGAGCAGCAGAGTGAAGATGAACACCATGAACATTAACGCCAACAGAACATTGTTTAACACACCATTTATGCACTGCTTGTTCGAGTTTATTATCATGGACTGTTTTTATGTGCTCTCTAGGACCAACTGTTGAACATTTATGGCTAGCATCTACACTACACTTAAGAGCATAATCTGTAAGTTTATCCTTGCTTCTATGGGTATCAGACACTGTTATTAACACCATAGTCTTCACATACCCGTGTCACTGAAACACCACACTCAACCTTCCTTATTAGTTCAAGTTTCTGCTTATCACTCAGATTCATATATTTACTTTTAGCACCATCAATTGCTTTAGAAGCCATTATTAATGCATTTTATGTAATATGTTAACAAGTCACACAAAACATTGTAAATCCAGGGAAAATTGGAGACTGAATGACAGGTGTATGCGTGAGCAAGTGTGGCATCTTATGGCTTGGGGAAGAATGAGAACAGACAAATCTTGGATGTGGATGCTCTGGCTTGTACAGGACACCACGATTCAGAAGATAACCAGACATTATTGCTACAGAGAAATTGGGAATAATAGCTTTTTTTCAGTTTGTCCGATAACACCAGCATTTGTCTTGCCAGATTTTTTGTCAGTAATTTCTGAAATCTCTTAAATTGGGGTTCATTAATTAGAGGTTTTCTGTAGTTTTTTCTGTATAATGCTAATCTAGGATACCTGGTTTCAAGACTGGGCCATAGGGTCTATGAAAATAAGGTACATTGGACCCCCAGTTTTCATAATTAATCCATTCCAGAGAGAGTGACTAAACCCGAATCTGACGAATTCCAAATTAATTTTCTTCATAAGAAATACTAATCCATTCCCGACACCCAAAAGTATTAAAAAAAATAAATTTTTTACATGAAATATACATTTCCCTACACAGAAAACATTGAGACATGCAGAATAAAACATTACTAAAATGACATTTACCTTTATTAAAGACTTATTGATGAGTGATGAGACGGGAGGAAGAGGATGGAGGTGTACTATTGTTTGGAAGGGGAATCCCCTTCCATAAAGACTTCAGATACCAAGTCCTTTTCTGGGGGTACTTCCCTTTTGTTTTTTAATGCCACTAGGACCAGCTTGAGTGTCTCTGGACCCCTGTCGCTCAAAGTTCCAGAGAGGTCTGTTTCTGGTGTTTCTTTAAAGCTTCCCTAAAATGGGACACAACATTGTCATTGCACATGTTGCCAACATGGCCTGCACCAGCTTTGTCAGGGTGATGTTCATCCATAAATGTTTTCACCTTTGTCCACATTGTACAAATGTCCTTAATCTTTGAAGAAGGCACCTACCTCCATCTCTCTTCCTCCTCCTCTGAAGCAGTTTCCTGAGCTGAAGGTCTTGCAGCTCTGTAGTGGTTACCTCTTCAACGTGGTCCTCCACCACTCTGCCACATCCTCCAAACTCGCATCCAACCCCATGGAATTCCCCAATGCCACAATAGATTCCACAGCTGGCATAGGCTCCTCAGGGTCAACCTCAAATCCTTCAAAATCCCTCTCTTGTACACATTGTAGCCACAATTTTCTTGAAGTAGAGTTCAAAGTCCTGGAAGTCACTCCCTCCCAAGCCTTACCTATAAGGTTTATGCAACTGAGGATACTGAGGGGATCTTTCCAGCACCTCTTAGGGTTAATTCAGTGTCTGAGGTCACTTCAAAGCACTGTTGAAACTGCTTTGGTGTACAGTTTTTTGAAATTTGAAATGACCTGCTGGTCCATGGGCTGAAGGAGAGGAGTGGTATTAGGGGCAAGAACTTCACTTTGATGAAATGAAACTCCTGCACCATTTGCTCTTCCAAGTCTGGTGGATGAGCAGGAGCATTGTCCATTACCAGGAGGCACTTGAGTTCCAATTTATTTTGCAGGAGGTATTTTTTCACACTGGGGCCAAGCACGTCATGGAACCAATCAAGGAATATGTCCCTCGTGACCCATGCCTTACTGTTTGCCTTCCACATCACACACAGTTTACTCTTGACGACACTGTTTTTCTTGAACACACTGGGATTTTCAGAGTGATACACCAGTAAAGGCTTCACATTGAAATTCCCACTAGTATTACTACAAAACATGAGTTATCCTGCCTTTCATAGGTGTGTGTCCTGGGAGTGCCTTTTCCTCCTGAGTAATGTAGGTCCTCTTTAGCATTTTCTTCCAAAAGAGGCCTGTTTCATCACAATTGAACACTTGTTGGGGTTTGAATTTTTCAGCCTCTATGTACCCCTTGAAGTACTAAACATGTTTTTCAGCCGCTTTTTTGTCAGAGCTGGCAGCTTCACCATGCCTTATCACACTGTGTGCCACTACTCTTCTTACCCCCTTGACTGTCACAACCCCAAATCCCAAGGTGTCTCCTGGTGTCAAAAAATTAAAAAAAAAAAAAAAAAAACTTATGTAATGATAGAGTATCTTTTCCCAGTGGTATGACACCAAAAGAACAAATTTTGATGGAAAACTTATGGAATTACGCTCTCACGAAGTTAGCAACCTCGGTGATATTTACGAATCGGCGATTTCACCCACTTTGTGCCCTATTTTTGGCTAATTAAATTGTTCCAGTCGACCAGACTCATAGCTATTTCTGTAGAACTCCATTTTTTCAATCGATTGAGTACAAAAAACTGCCTATTTACCGATTTCAACTACCCAATAACATGGTCAGAAATTTGCAATTTGGCCAATTTCATGAAAATTAAAAAATATGACAATTTCAAAATAGGGTCCAGAATGAACAATGCAGACATTCCTGGCTCTAAAATAACATTTTCTTTGTTCATCAGTCATGTCTCCAGGCCCCTCTCATATTACTCTTGCTTTCTATTTTGAATTTTTATTCAAACAAAAAATTTAAGATTTACTGTTATGCAGACTACTGCAATATTGTAATAATTTTATAAATAATGTCAACCCATTCATGACTGCATATTGAATGGCTAGTTGGACATTTTTGGACAATACATCATTTGTTTACTTGAACATCGGCAAAATCAAACATTCCCCTACTTTGGCTCCATTCAAGGTTCTTTTCATAGTAAACCAATCAAATCATCTCTATTTCTATAATAGTTTTCATTCTATCAAATGAACCAGAGAAAACGAGATACAACCATAAATATACTACAAATATAGACCACAAATTCGGCATTTTAATTAAAAAAAAACGGTCGGAGTTTTTTTTTCCTCATTATGCACTGAGTGCTGCAGGATTTTTTTTATATGGTGCACACTGACCACACAGACCCATTCTCTCACATATGGGCCTACCAGCTTTCTCCTGCTTGATTTGAATCCGCTAGAATTTGTGAGTGCGTTTATGTCAAACACGGTGGCTCGTAAGACATATATATACGGCCGAAACAGTCAGAGGGTTAAATCTCTCAAACTAGCCTTTGCTGGTCCTAAATTCACCAATATCAGCACTAGTTCCAGGCATTTTCTTTACGAGATCATCATGCAACTGCCTTGCCTTTTCACATATTATTGACTGTATAACACTATCTCCTGATATTTGTTTCTCATTGATCCACACCAACAACGAAGTCTCCACATCTTCCAGTATTTGCGATCTTTGTTTTGTAAGCATATTTGCACCTTGCAACAACAACTTCCTTGATTTCTTTTTTCTTGGCCACAATAGAAACAATGGTTGTTTGGGGTTTGTTACACAACCTGGCCAGCTTAGCGACACGCACTCCACTTTCATATTTTGCAGTGATCTCTTTCTTGAATTCTATAGTGTTTCCCACCCTTTTTACCAAAGGGTTGGCACTAGAAGCTTCCTTTGGGCCCATGGTGACTTATTTAGCAGTTACAAGCACCAAAAAGAATGGAATAATACAAAATGTATCGTGTGAACGTGTGGGATTCTGCACACTGGCTGTACATGGAGTGTCGGGGCAGCTCAGGCTCCTCGGACACATTCTGAACGAATGATTTATTCCGAGTGTTCATTGATGATCACCGAGCCAGTATTTTGACGAGAAAACGTTACTTATTCAGAATATTATGTATTCTGATGACTATGTAATCTGGGGGTCCACTGTACAATCATACCTCCAAATTAGTAAAATGCATGATGTGCTGTTGCAGTGGAAAGAAGGTAACATCTTTGAGGGGATACAGGGGAAACTGGTTAGCCAGACTAATCCTGGAAGTGGGAAGGACTTTGTAAGTCGTCCTATTTTGGTGGGAGATAGTTGATAAGGTAAAAAAAAAAAAAAAAAAAAAAAAAAAAAAAAAAAAAAAAAAAAAGCGAACGAAATTAATGATCATCATGCTAAGTTCTTGTTAACATTTATATGCTATTTAATACTGTAGTAAATGTTTGTATGGTTGTTTATGTAGGAGTTATAACAGGTGTAAATTATACCATTGGTTGAAATACATAAAATAAAATTTGTCAACATTTATTGTATCTTCATATGGGACTGGTAGTTGTAAGTTCTATTGTCTTCTGATTGTAAACAAGATGCTAAGATCACCTTTTGTAATGTTCAACATTTTTACCTTTAGGTTCTATACTGCATTAGAAACAGCTACACAGAGAGCGGATACATACGAATCTGAGATTTCCAAAGAAATTCATAATGGACGACTTTTCCGCCTTCTTACAAAGTTGAATACTATTGTTGATCGTCCACAGTAAGTTGCTTTTCTTGTGTGATATTTGATGTGTATTTATGCTACATCTCTTTGTGAATATTGTCTTCTGAGTGCTAATTTGCTTGCCTGCAAAAAGCACTAAAAATTGTTTTTTCATCCCCAGCATACTGGTCTTTGACCGATGATTAAGGGACAGATATAGTCTCTAAGTTTTAGAAATAATCAATGATTTAGGCTTAGATCTAAGTTTAGGGTTGAGTCCAATTTGTTGGTTATATCATAGGTCCTAGTTTGTCATGCGTATTGTAAGTGACGATGATGATAATATTGTAGTAGTAATTTATTCGTTGAATTAGGCAAGTTATATTTGGGTGAAAATATGTATAGTGATGTATGTAGTATACACAGCATTTTGGGCTAATGCAAGTGTCTTTTGTAGAATAGTAGTAATACATGTAATTATTGTAAAAATGCAACAATTCATTTGCAAAGCATTGCTGTTGTTGGAGCTGGGATGTATCTTCATCTAATGAAGTATTAAATAACACTGTAAGAAGCTATTTGAGAAGCTAACAATATATTATTGAAAAATAATAGCTGCTTTCTTTCAATTTTGTTTTCTATTACTTAGTAGTCTGGAAATTGTTCATGTAGAAAATGGATAAGTAGGTTGCATTAATTTTTATTTCAAAAATATTTTGATAATGCTCCTCATGAAATACTAATCTTGAAACTAGAAAACATGGGTGGAAATAAAGGTATTTATTACAATATGTTCGAGTTTTTTCTATATGTAAGGAAAATGCAAACAGTGATAAGAGAGAAAATTTTCCTGTGGATTGGTAAATGTAACCAGTGGGATTCCACAGGGATTAATGCAGGGGGATCCCACAAGAAACAGTGCAGTGAGATCTCACAAGGATCAAGTCGTATATATAAGTGACTTACAAGAAGGATGAGCATTTGCTGGATGAGAAGTATTGCCAACAAGTATATTGGAGACATCAGGAGAAAGCTGAGTGAACCTTTGTTCAAGAAGAGATTTTCCTCTTGGTAGACCTTTAACAAGACATGGCTTGATAAACAAATACATTTGTTGATGCAAAAATCTTTTACTAACTAAATACTGTAGTAAAATTTGCTGTAGATCCATACAAAAAGAGTGATCAGTAGAGCAGAGAGTGACAGGTGGATGATGGAATTTCATTTAGTGTTTTATGTGGAAAAGGAATGCCTAAGGGTGCAGGGAACACTGGCTAGCTGTATTTGAATCCTGGGAAGGGAAATTACAGTGTAGGTTTTTTGAAGGATTTCTGGAGATGTTGCAGTTCAGAGGGTCATTTAAATTGGAATGTCTGCACTCTTCTTGAGAAATAACTAGAATGAATGATGGTGAGGGTGTTTCCCCTCTTTGGGTCATACGAATTATTTGTTACCTGTTAGGTTACCTGTACACAAAAACCTCAGCTTAATGGGCTTCAGAGATACAGGACAAAATCTGTTCAGTTAGATGATTTGGAAATGAAGGGGAAAGCTCTTTAGTTTTGGAATTGTCTGCTATTGTTACACTCACCCAAAACACTCATCATTATCCTTCACAATCACCATTATTGTCCACCTGCTTCCTCCCCATTATTGTTAAATTGAGGGGTTACTGTAGTGGATTTTGTGGGTCACTGCCCCACTACCCAGTCCTGGACCGAGACCAGGTCTTCTGTTTGATGGCCTGATCTATAAGGTTGTCTTAACATAGACATCACAGCCCGGCTGAACAGGAACTATCTTAAGGAACTTAATAAGTCCTCTTTTGAAGATAGCCAAAGGTATGTTGGTAATTTCCCTTATGGACAAAGGGAAGGTGTTAAAAAGTCTTAGGAACTGAGTTCTCTTAGTGTGCTCTTTGCATCCTTATTCTTTGTAGGGCTTAAGTTATTTTACAATATCTTCTGAGCCTCTTGCTCTTTTTTTTTTTTTTTTTTTTTTTTTTTTTTTTTTTTTTTTTTTTTTTTCAACAAGTCGGCCGTCTCCCACCGAGGCAGGGTGACCCAAAAAAGAAAGAAAATCCCCAACAAGAAAATACTTTCATCATCATTCAACACTTTCACCACACTCGCACATTATCACTGTTTTTGCAGAAGTGCTCAGAATACAACAGTCTAGAAGCATAAACATATAAAGATACACAACATATCCCTCCAAACTGCCAATATCCCAAACCCCTCCTTTAAAGTGCAGGCATTGTACTTCCCATTTCCAGGACTCAAGTCCGACTATATGAAAATAACCGGTTTCCCTGAATCCCTTCACTAAATATTACCCTGCTCACACTCCAACAGATCGTCAGGTCCCAAGTACCATTCGTCTCCATTCACTCCTATCTAACACGCTCACGCACGCTTGCTGGAAGTCCAAGCCCCTTACCCACAAAACCTCCTTTACCCCCTCTCTCCAACCCTTTCGAGGACGACCCCTACCCCGCCTTCCTTCCCCTATAGATTTATATGCTTTCCATGTCATTCTACTGTGATCCATTCTCTCTAAATGACCAAAACCACCTCAACAACCCCTCTTCTGCCCTCTGACTAATACTTTTATTAACTCCACACCTTCTCCTAATTTCCACACTCCGAATTTTCTGCATAATATTTACACCACACATTGCCCTTAAACAGGACATCTCCGCTGCCTCCAACCGTCTCCTCGCTGCTGCATTTACCACCCAAGCTTCACACCCATATAAGAGTGTTGGTACTACTATACTTTCATACATTCCCTTCTTTGCCTCCATAGATAACGTTTTTTTGACTCCACATATACCTCAACGCACCACTCACCTTTTTTCCCTCATCAATTCTATGATTAACCTCATCCTTCATAAATCCATCCGCCGACACGTCAACTCCCAAGTATCTGAAAACATTCACTTCTTCCATACTCCTCCTCCCCAATTTGATATCCAATTTTTCTTTATCTAAATCATTTGACACCCTCATCACCTTACTCTTTTCTATGTTCACTTTCAACTTTCTACCTTTACACACATTCCCAAACTCATCCACTAACCTTTGCAATTTTTCTTTAGAATCTCCCATAAGCACAGTATCATCAGCAAAAAGTAACTGTGTCAATTCCCATTTTGAATTTGATTCCCCATAATTTAATCCCACCCCTCTCCCAAACACCCTAGCATTTACTTCCTTTACAACCCCATCTATAAATATATTAAACAACCATGGTGACATTACACATCCCTGTCTAAGACCTACTTTTACCGGGAAGTAGTCTCCCTCTCTTCTACACACCCTAACCTGAGCCTCACTATCCTCATAAAAACTCTTTACAGCATTTAATAACTTACCACCTTGCTCTTGTAGGGACTAATTTCCATGTGCAGATTTGGGATTAATTCTTCCAGAGTTTTCCAGGTGTGAATTATGATGTTTTTTGTAGCATATATTCCAAGGAGTACAATTCAAAGGATGTAAGCCATTCCCAGTAGTTTGGTGCTTTGCTGAATTTATGCAGGCAGTACATTCTCCAGATCAACAGTTTTTCCTGCCTTAAAAAAGAGCTGTTAGTGTAAAGCAATACTCCATTCTAGAGAGAACAGATTTGATAAAATATTGCCATTGCGAGGAATCGAGGGATAATTATAAACAAAAGATTGTCATTGGAAGACCACGTAAGTACTGTAATGAGAAATTTATTTGCTACACTAGCCAACTTCAAAATAGCCTTCACATATATGGAAGACAAAATGTTATAATAGCTATAGCTGCTCACAACATATGTTTAACCAAAATTGGAACCAGTATGTTGTAGCAGTAATGTGTTGCCACAATAAAAAACTTATGGACAAGATAAAAAAAAAGTGTAAAAAGGTGTGCTACAAAACAGCTCCTAGTAAAAAGACAAAACACCTTTATTGTTTGATAGGTTAAAAAGAAGACATGTGATAATCACATAAAAGATCATAAAATAATCAGAGAATATAGATAAAGATGATGTAGCATGGTCATTAGGGAACACAGGACACAATTATAAATTGATAAAAAAAAAAAAGTAGGATCAGTAAGATATTCTCAAGATTTCTTCACAAATAAAGGGGTAGGAGAGTGGAGTGGGATTTAAGAGGTGATTTGTACTGTATCTTGAGAACTTTAATTTTTTTTTTCACCTTGTTGCAGCCTCCCACCAAGGTAGGAGAGGGCCAATTATATAATTACTTGCATGATTGATTAATTATACAATAAATATTAAAGATGGTACACCACAAGCATATCTACTGCAAGTACAAATAAGTAAGCATGTGTTCAAAGGGCTCAGTGCATGCTGTTATCTGATATATTGTCCCTGCAAAAGAGAATTACTCGCCCATTGTTTTTAGTTACTACAGTATTTACTATTTTTTTCCAGTGGTTTACCAATATTATGGACTTGCCAGAACCAGGACCTATCTGTTATTGACATTTTCCATTACCAACCTCAGTAACTAAGTGCAAATGAAAAATCTAAATTTTTACCTGCTACAAGATGATTTATATGTCTTTTCCAAATTCTTAAATGCAGATACCATATTTATACTTCATAGTAGAGGATATAATGGTGCAAGCATCATCGAGGGTAGAAGCAGTTGAGGGACCTGGAAACACTATTGATGCAGCTACAGGATATGGATCATCATAAAAATGAATCTTAAATTATAACATCACTCATCTGTTTCATAACTTCAGGCCTCTGTGATTAACTTCTCTTGTATCTGTGCAGTTGCACGAGTTTGTGATCGGTAATGAAGGATTTCTTCTCCAACCAGGTTATAAGTGTGCCTGAAGTTGATATACACAGTTCGTTGTTATACTGTACCTGGAGCATCTGGTTCCTCATCATTTTCGTCACTATCGTCACTTTCTGCAGACTTTGGGTTAAAGACAACAGTAATTTCCAAGTCAGTGAGTGTATTGCAAGCAAACATTTTTGTCACACTCAGTCCATTTCTTAATAACCTTTATCACTAGCATTAGGAATTATATCATGTATCTTTTTGGCATATCTCATAAATTCAGTGAGTTCAGCCTTCTCTGATGGTGCAATATAAAGAACCCTTCGAAATCAGGAAGGAGTACCTAGATCATTGGTGAATGTGCTAGACAATCATATATTATGCCGTACATTCCTTAGAGTAGCAGTAACAACATCTTGCTAAGATTTTACAGTGAAATTTATCGTATTTCTAACATGGAATTCTTTCTTAACTTCTTCCTAGTTTCCAGTTGCTGTAAACTCCATAGTCTTACATAATTCAGTGATGTAATATATTGACTTCCTTAGGAAATGCTCGTTTTCCTACCCTGGGGAATATTTCGTTCAAAAACAACATACAGTAACTTATTTTTATCCACGATTTGCAGGAATAATTGGAGGGTGGCTATGCAAGTGTTTTTTAAGTGTACTTGAAATTGTTCACTTCAAAAACACAGTTTAATAAGACAAACTTCATCACATACCATAGACCACCTAACCACTCTTGTTAATAAAAGCTCAGGAAAATTTCTGTTAAGCCACTGTTCTAGATTTTGTTGTTAATTTGAGAATCCAGCAGAGCAGAAGCCATAGTTTGGGTAGACCATCATAGTTCATTGCTCTCTTCATTTGTAGCTAATTCACATTTGCAGTGCCAGTTAAATTTTTTTTCTTCATTTCTTTGGGAGAGCTGTAATGTTCATTCTAACATGTAAGTCACTAATGAATGTGCAGATCCATTTGTTTCAGGGAAGTGAGTTGTGATTCTCGTTTTTACTGTTGCTGTTTCATGTGCATCTTGACTCACAATATGGCTCAAGTAAGAGTGTAAATATACTTTTGTACTTTGTTCGTAATGACTGTACTTTGTTCGTAATGACTGTACCTGGAAAAGTACAGTGTTTTCAACTTCGTAACTCACATTTCTAAACTGTGGGAGCAATGAGGTATCATGTCTTTAAAAATGATCTGTTTTATCTAGCGTAACTGCTTCCTTGGTGCAGACACTGTACTTCTGCTGTATATTCCAGTTTTAGTCACAGTTTGTAAAGAGTTTTTTAGCATTTCTGTAGCGATATACCTAAAGGTTATTTTGAAGGCTTGCCAATGTAGCATACAAATTTCTTACTACAGTAATACACTTTTGTGATTACAGTACTTAATCTGTCTGTGATGCTTTCAACACTTTATTGTGCAATCTATAGTTCATTCTTCAAGTTGCTTGTTTCTGTTTTTTCTCATTTCTTTTATATAGCATTTATTTATGTTAAATTCCATCATCCAGTCTACACTTCATTTGCTCAACTTATCTTAAATTTTCCTATAGCTGTTTACAGTTATTTGTATTTATTTTATATAGGTTTCTTCATCATCTGCAAGCATATTCTTGTTGATGATCATTTGCTGACAGATCATTTTCATAGATTAGAAATATTATTGGGTCAATGGATGGTTCTTCTGGGTTCCCACTGGGTACATTTTTCATAAGAATGTTCCTCTCTTATCGTTGTTTGCATTTTTTTTTTAATGTATAATCTTTCATCTGTTTATTCATCTAGAGTATGTGTGTCAAATTGGAAAGGAGCTGTCAATAGTATCAATAGTAAGGTCTACATCACAATACTGTTCTGTATTCTAAGGAAAAAAATCACGTTGAATGTAAGAATTAATGTTTTCAGATAGTCATTAGTAGGTTAAAAGTTTGTATGGAATACCAACTCTAATTTTAAATATTATGTGGTATGGAGGGAAGTTGATTAAATTTTTTTTTTTTCAATGCACCAGCCGTATTCCACCTAGGCAGGGTGACCATTTAGTAATGATAAAATAAATGATTACAGTAATAAAAGAAGTAATATTATTTTTTTTTTTTTTAACAAGTCGGCCATCTCCCACCGAGGCAGGGTGACCCAAAAAGAAAGAAAATCCCCAAAAAGAAAATACTTTCATCATCATTCAACACTGTCACCTCACTCACACATAATCACTGTTTTTGCAGAGGTGCTCAGAACACAACAGTTAGAAGCATATGCATATAAAGATACACAACATATCTCTTCAAACTGCTAATATCCCGAAACTCCTCCTTTAGAGTGCAGGCATTGTACTTCCCATTTCCAGGACTCAAGTCTGGCTAAATAAAAATAACGGGTTTTCCTGAATCCCTTGACTAAATATTACCCTGCTCGCACTCCAACAGATCGTCAGGTCCCAAATACCATTCGTCTCCATTCACTCCTATCGAACACGCTCATGCACGCCTGCTGGAAGTCCAAGCCCCTCGCCCACAAAACCTCCCTTCGAGGACAACCCCTACCCTGCCTTCCTTCCCCTACAGATTTAAATGCTCTCTATGTCATTATACTTTGACCCTTCAGCATAATATTTACACCACGCATTGCCCTTAGACAGGACATCTCCACTGCCTCCAACCACCTCCTCGCTGCTGCATTCACAACCCAAGCTTCACGCCCATGTAAGAGTGTTGGTACTACTATACTTTCATACATTACCTTCTTTGCCTCCATAGATAACGTTTTTTGTTTCCACATATACCTCAACGCACCACTCACCTTTTTTCCCTCATCAGTTCTATGATTAATCTCATCCTTCATAAATCCATCCGCTGACACGTCAACTCCCAATTATCTGAAAACATCTACTTCTTCCATACTCCTCCTCCCCAATTTAATATCCAATTTTTCTTTATCTAAATCATTTGATACCCTCATCACCTTACTCTTTTCTATGTTCACTTTCAACTTTCTACCTTATATTGAGGTTACACTTCATTGTGATTGTGCAGTTTTATGCTGTTAAATCTGTGCTCATGTCTCAAAAGAACAGTCTGTGATTGTAACATACATGGTGGCCTTACTTGTAGCTGGAGGGCCACGATGTATGCTTCTGAGCCTGGCAGTATTAAGAACTTGGTGCAACTTTGGACCAGTTATCAAACAGTTTAAAATGGAAAAGTCATATCATGAATGGTGCACTACTGACAAGTTGCTGAGTAAGACTTATGTTGCACCTGTCTAATTCAAAAAAAGTAATTTTTTTTTAAATGTTTCCTTCATTGGTTATTCATGCACAACAGGTCACATTTTCTGAGTCTTGACTGAAACCAGATTGCTTGATGCATCCTGGAACACCCTACATTGGTGAATACTGAATAATGTGGTCTTGTATTTTAGTAGTAATGATTTTTTTTTGACAGACTCCACTTGGATTCATCTTGGAGCGAGACTGGTGACCGATATATGCTAAAGCTCTTCAGAGATTACGTCTTTCATCAGGTGAGTTGTTACACCCTCTTTATGAATGAAAAGGTTAGTGATATGTGACAAATTGCAACTTTCATTTGTTAGTCAAATTTTAGATTTCCTTGATGAAAAGTTCAAGGCTGCAACTTGCACAAAAGAATTTGAGAAATATGTGCAAAATTAATAAGAATACACTAGTAGAGAGGTCGAGGCTAGGAGGTAGGTGGGAGTGTGGTGAGTGGTTCAGCAGAAAGATGGTATGTAAATATATTAATTAATGCAATGTTTGTTTCAAAATCATTTTTAAGGTAGTAGGCTGGTAGACAGCAACCACCCAGGGAAGTACTACCGTCCTGCCAGATGACTGTGAAACAGAAACCTGTAACTGTTTTGCATGATGGTAGGATTGCTGGTTTCTTTTTCTGTTCATAAACACTCTAGATAACAGGGATATCTTGCTACTCCTACTTACACTTTGGTCACACTTCACAGACACGCACATGCATATATATATACATACATCTAGGTTTTTCTCCTTTTTCTAAATAGCTCTTGTTGTTCTTTATTTCTTCTATTGTCCATGGGGAAGTGGAAAAGAATCTTTCCTCCGTAAGCCATGCATGTCGTATGAGGCAACTAGGATGCCGGGAGCAATGGGCTAGTAACCCCTTCTCCTGTAGACATTTACTAAAAAAGAGAAGAAGAAAAACTTTATAAAACTGGGATGCTTGAATGTGCGTGGATGTAGTGCGGATGACAAGAAGCAGATGATTGCTGATGTTATGAATGAAAAGAAGTTGGATGTCCTAGCCTTAAGCGAAACAAAGCTGAAGGGGCTAGGGGAGTTTCGGTGGGGGGAAATAAATGGAATTAAATCTGGAGTATCTGAGAGAGTTAGAGCAAAGGAAGGGGTAGCAGTAATGGTGAAGGATCAGTTATGGAAGGAGAATATGAATTTGTAAATTCAAGAATTATGTGGATTAAAGTAAAGGTTGGATGCGAAAAGTGGGTCATAATAAGCGTGTATGCACCTGGAGAAGAGAGGAGTGTAGAGGAGAGAGAGAGATTTTGGAAGATGTTAAGTGAATGTATAGGAGCCTTTGAACCAAGTGAGAGAGTAATTGTGGTAGGGGACCTGAATGCTAAAGTAGGAGAAACTTTTAGAGAGGGTGTGGTAGGTAAGTTTGGGGTGCCAGGTGTAAATGATAATGGGAGCCCTTTGATTGAACTTTGTATAGAAAGGGGTTTAGTTATGGGTAATACATATTTTAAGAAAAAAGGATAAGTATACAAGACATGATGTAGGGCGAAATGACAGTAGTTTGTTGGATTATGTATTGGTAGATAAAAGACTGTTAAGTAGACTTCAGGATGTTCATGTTTATAGAGGGGCCACAGATATATCAGATCACTTTCTAGTTGTAGCTACACTGAGAGTAAAAGGTAGATGGGATACAAGGAGAATAGAAGCATCAGGGAAGAGAGAGGTGAAGGTTTATAAACTAAAAGAGGAGGCAGTTAGGGTAAGATATAAACAGCTATTGGAGGATAGATGGGCTAATGAGAGCATAGGCAGTGGGGTCGAAGAGGTATGGGGTAGGTTTAAAAATGTAATGTTAAAGTGTTCAGCAGAAGTTTGTGGTTACAGGAAAGTGGGTGCGGGAGGGAAGAGGAGCGATTGGTGGAATGATGATGTAAAGAGAGTAGTAAGGGAGAAAAAGTTAGCATATGAGAAGTTTTTACAAAGTAGAAGTGATGCAGGGAGGGAAGAGTATATGGAGAAAAAGAGAGAGGTTAAGAGAGTGGTGAAGCAATGTAAAAAGAGAGCAAATGAGAGAGTGGGTGAGATGTTATCAACAAATTTTGTTGAAAATAAGAAAAAGTTTTGGAGTGAGATTAACAAGTTAAGGAAGCCTAAAGAACAAATGGATTTGTCAGTTAAAAATAGGAGAGGAGAGTTATTAAATGGAGAGTTAGAGGTATTGGGAAGATGGAGGGAATATTTGAGGGAAATTTTTAAATGTTGATGAAAGATAGGGATCTGTGATTTCGTGTATAGGGCAAGGAGGAATAACATCTTGTAGGAGTGTGGAAGAGCCAGTTGTGAGTGTGGGGGAAGTTCCTGAGGCAGTAGGTAAAATGAAAGGGGGTAAGGCAGCCGGGATTGATGGGATAAAGATAGAAATGTTAAAAGCAGGTGGGGATATAGTTTTGGAGTGGTTGGTGCAATTATTTAATAAATGTATGGAAGAGGGTAAGGTACCTAGGGATTGGCAGAGAGCATGCATAGTTCCATTGTATAAAGGCAAAGGGGACAAAAGAGAGTGCAAAAATTACAGGGGGATAAGTCTGTTGAGTATACCTGGCAAAGTGTATGGTAGAGTTATTATTGAAAGAGTTAAGAGTAAGACGGAGAATAGGATAGCAGATGAACAAGGAGGCTTTAGGAAAGGTAGGGGGTGTGTGAACCAGGTGTTTACAGTGAAACATGTAAGTGAACAGTATTTAGATAAGGCTAAAGAGGTCTTTGTGGCATTTATGGATTTGGAAAAGGCATATGACAGGGTGGATAGGGGGGGGGGGCAATATGGCAGATGTTGCAGGTGTATGGTATAGGAGGTAGGTTACTGAAAGCAGTGAAGAGTTTTTACGAGGATAGTGAGGCTCAAGTTAGAGTATGTAGGAAAGAGGGAAATTATTTCCCAGTAAAATTTAGGCCTTAGAAAAGGATGTGTATGTCACCGTGGTTGTTTAATATATTTATAGACGGGGTTGTAAAAGAAGTAATTGCGAGGTCTTGGCAAGAGGTGTGGAGTTAAAAGATAAAGAATCACAATAAAGTGGGAGTTGTCACAGTTGCTCTTTTCTGATGACCTGTGCTCTTGGGAGATTCTGAAGAGAAGTTGCAGAGATTGGTGGATGAATTTGGTAGGGTATGCAAAAGAAGAAATTAAAAGTGAATACAGGAAAGAGTAAGGTTATGAGGATAACAAAAAGATTAGGTGATGAAAGATTGGATATCAGATTGGAGGGAGAGAGTATGGAGGAGGTGGGAAAGTATTCAGATATTTGGGGGTGGACGTGTCAGCGGATGGGTCTATGAAAAATAAGGTGAATCATAGAATTGATGAGGGGGAAAAGGGGGAGTGGTGCACTTAGGAGTCTGTGAGACAAAGAAAATTTGACCTTGGAGGCAAAAAGGGGAATGTATGAGAGTATAGTTTTACCAACGCTCTTTATGGGTGTGAAGCATGGGTGATGAATGTTGCAGCGAGGAGAAGGCTGGAGGCAGTGGAGATGTCATGTCTGAGGGGGAATGTGTGGTGTGAATATAATGCAGAGAATTCGTAGTTTGGAAGTTAGGAGGAGGTGCGGGATTACCAAAACTGTTGTCCAGAGGGCTGAGGAAGGGTTGTTGAGGTGGTTCGGACATGTAGAGAGAATGGAGCGAAACAGAATGACTTCAAGAGTGTATCAGTCTGTAGTGGAAGGAAGGCGGGGTAGGGGTCGGCCTAGGAAAGGTTGGAGGGAGGGGGTAAAGGAGGTTTTGTGTGCGAGGGGCTTGGACTTCCAGCAGGCATGCGTGAGCGTGTTTGATAGGAGTGAATGGAGACAAATGGTTTTTAATACTTGACGTGCTGTTGGAGTGTGAGCAAAGTAACATTTATGAAGGGTTCAGGGAAACCGGCAGGCTGGACTTGAGTCCTGGAGATGGGAAGTACAGTGCCTGCACTCTGAAGGAGGGGTGTTAATGTTGTAGTTTAAAAACTGTAGTGTAAAGCACCCTTCTGGCAAGACAGTGATGGAGTGAATGATGGTGAAAGTTTTTCTTTTTCGGGCCACCCTGCCTTGGTGGGAATCGGCCAGTGTGATAATATTAATATTAATATAAATAATAAATATATATTGGATTGATGAAGACCCTGACTGGTGAAGCATATCTTTTATAAATGTCCTAATGCCTCATTTGTCTTGCATTGTTTTAGGGTAGGAATGTTATTTGTTGTGGAAATGTGTACTTATGACTCAGAACAGTGATATAAGCATGAACATGCAGTTTTCCATTTTTTTTTTAATACGTCGGTCGTTTCCCACTGAGACAGGGTGACCCAAAAAAGAAAGAAAACCCCAAAAAGAAAGAAAAAAACTTTCATTATCATTCAGCACTTTCACCATCACTCATACACAATCACTGTCTACAGAGGCGCTCAGATACGACAGCTTAGACATCTCTCCAAACTGCCAATAACCGAAACCCCTCCTTTAACCCTTTGAGGGTCGACAGGCCCTCTCCGAAACTCGTTCTCAGGGTCGGCCAAATTTAAAAAAAAAAAAATTATTTTCTCTTATGAAAAGATAGAGAATCTTTTCCCGTTCATAAAGACACCAAAAGTTTGAAATTTGATAGAAAACTTACGGAATTATGCTCTCGCAAAGTTAGCGGTCTCGGCGATATTTACGCATCGGCGATTTTGCCCACTTTGAGCCCCATTTTCGGCCAATTTCACTGTACTAGTCGACAAAAAACATGCATATTTCGCTAGAACTCCATTTTTTCTATCGAATGGGTGCAAGAAACCACCCATTTATAAATTCAACTATCCAGTACAGTGGTCAGAATTTAGCAATTTTGCCAATTTCACACAAATTTCAAAAGATGCCAATTTCCGAATAGGGTCCAGAATAAACAAGAAAGACATTCCTGGCACTAAAATGATATTTCCTCTAGTCATTAGTCACGTCTCAAGGCCCCTCTTATATTCTTTTGCTTTCCACTTTGAATTTTTATTCTCACAAAAAATATAAGATTTACTGTTATGCAGACTACTGCATTAGTGTAAAAAATGGTATAAATATTATTGGTGCACTTGTAAGAGGGAAAGTGTATAAACTAAGGGAGGAGCAAGTTCGAGTGAGATATAAGCGACTATTGGCAGAAAGGTGGGCTAATGCAAAGATAAGTAGTGAGGGGGTTGAAGAGGGTTGGAATAGTTTTAAAAATGCAGTATTAGAAGTTTGTGGTTATAGGAGGGTGGGGGCAGGAGGAAAGAGGAGTGATTGGTAGAATGATGAAGTAAAGGGTGTGATAAAAGAGAAAAAGGTAGCTTATGAGAGGTTTTTACAAAGCAGAAGTGTTATAAAAGAGCAGAGTATATGGAGAGTAAAAAAAAGGTGAAGAGTGGTGAGAGAGTGCAAAAGGAGAGCAGATGATAGAGTGGGAGAGGCCCCTGTCAAGAAATTTTAATGAAAATAAGAAAAAAATTTTGGGAGTGAGTTAAACAAGCAAAGAAAGCCTAGGGGAAAGTATGGTTTTGTCAGTTAAAAACAGAGTAGGGAAGCCAGTAGTGGGGGGGAGGGAGGTATTAGGTAGATGGCGAGAATTTTTGAGGAACTTTTAAATGTTGAGGAAAAAAGGGGAGGGGGGTAATTTCATGCACTGGCCAGGAGGTATACCATCTTTTAGGAGTGAAGAAGAGCGGGAATGTAAGTGTGGGGGAGGTACGTGAGGCATTATGTAGAATAAAAAGGGGGTGTAAAGCGCTGGAACTTATGGGATCATGACGAAATGTTAAAGCGGGGGGGGGGGGGGGGATATAGTGTTGGAGTGGTTGGTACTTTTGTTTAATAAATGTATGAAAGAGGGGAAGGTACCTAGCGATTGGGGGGAGAGCATGTATAGTCCTTTATATAAAGGGAAAGGGGACAAAAGAGTTTGAAAAATTAGAGAGGAATAAGTTTACTGAGTTATAGGTAGTAGGTTGGTAGACAGCAACCGTCCAGGGAGGTACTACCGTCCTACCAAGTGAGTGTAAAACGAAACCCTGAAATTTTGTTTTACATGATGGTAGGATTGCTGGTGTCCTTTTTTCTGTCTCATGAATGAAGATTTCAGGTCGTCTTGCTACTTCTACTTACACTTAGGTCACACTACACATACATGTAAAAGTGTATATATACCTACCCCTCTGGATTTTCTTCTATTTTCTTTCTAGTTCTTGTTCTTGTTCTTGTTTATTTCCTCTTATCTCCATGGGGAGGTGGAACAGAATTCTTCCTCCGTAAGCCATGCGTGTTGTAAGAGGCGATTAAAATGTCGGGAGCAAGGGGCTAGTAACCCCTTCTCCTGTATATATTACTAAATGTAAAAGGAGAAACTTTCGTTTTCCCTTTTGGGCCACCCTGCCTCGGTGGGATACGGCCGGTGTGTTGAAAGAAAGAAGAAGTTTACTGAGTATACCAGGAAAAGTGTACGGTAGGGTTATAATTGAAAGAATTAGAGGCAAGACAGAATGTAGGATGGCGGATGAGCAAGGAGGTTTCAGAGTGGGTAGGGGATGTGTAGATCAAGTGTTTACATTGAAGCATATATGTGAACAGTATTTAGATAAAGGTAGGGAAGTTTTTAGTGCATTTATGGATTTAGAAAAGGCATATGATAGAGTGGATAGAGGAGCAATATGGCAGATATTGCAAGTATATGGGGAAAAGGTGGTAAGTTACTAAATGCTGTAAAGAGTTTTTTATGAGGATAGTGAGTCTCAGGTTAGGGTGTGTAGAAGAGAGGGAGACTTTCTTCCTGGTAAAGTAGGTCTTAGACAGGGATGTGTAATGTCACCCTGGTTGTTTAATATATTTATAGATGGGGTTGTAAAAGAAGTAAATGCTAGGGTGTTTGGGAGAGGGGTGAGATTAAATTATGGGGAATCAAAATTTAAAGTGGGAATTGACACAGTTACTTTTTGCTGATGATACTGTGCTTATGGGAGATTCTAAAGAAAATTGCAAAGGTTAGTGGATGAGTTTGAGATGTGTGTAAAGGTAGAAAGTTGATAGTGAAAAATAGAAAAGAGTAAGGTGATGAAGGTATAAAACGATTTAGATAAAGAAAAATTGGATATCAAATTGGGGAGGAGTATGGAAGAAGTGAATGTTTTCAGATCTTGGGAGTTGACGTTGTCGGCGGATGGATTTATGAAGGATGAGGTTAATCATAGAATTGATGAGGGAAAAAAGGTGAGTGGTGCGTTGAGGTATATGTGGAGTCAAAAAACGTTATCTATGGAGGCAAAGAAGGGAATGTATGAAAGTATAGTAGTACCAACACTCTTATATGGATGTGAAGCTTGGGTGGTAAATGCAGCAGCGAGGAGACGGTTGGAGGCAGTGGAGATGTCCTGTCTAAGGGCAATGTGTGGTGTAAATATTATGCAGAAAATTCGGAGTGTGGAAATTAGGAAAAGGTGTGGAGTTAATAAAAGTATTAGTCAGAAGGCAGAAGAGGGGTTGTTGAGGTGGTTTGGTCATTTAGAGAGAATGGTTCAAAGTAGAATGACATGGAAAGCATATAAATCTATAGGGGGAAGGAAGGTGGGGTAGGGGTCATCCCGAAAGGGTTGGAGAGAGGGGGTAGGGAGGTTTTGTGGGCGAGGGGCTTGGACTTCCAGCAAGCGTGCGTGAGCGTGTTAGATAGGAGTGAATGGAGACGAATGGTACTTGGGACCTGACGATCTGTTGGAGTGTGAGCAGGGTAATATTTAGTGAAGGGATTCAGGGAAACCGGTTATTTTCATATAGTCGGACTTGAGTCCTGGAAATGGGAAGTATAATGCCTGCACTTTAAAGGAGGGGTTTGGGATATTGGCAGTTTGGAGGGATATGTTGTGCATCTTTATACGTATATGCTTCTAAGCTGTTGCATTCTGAGCACCTCTGCAAAAACAGTGATAATGTGTGGGTGTGGTGAAAGTGTTGAATGATGAAAGTATTTTCTTTTTGGGGATTTTCTTTCTTTTTTTGGGTCACCCTGCCTCGGTGGGAAACGGCCGACTTGTTTAAAAAAAAAAAAAATTCTATTTACTCACGTGCAAGTCCCACTCAAATCCAACCCCTTTCACTTGTGCATTTATCCAACCTAAATTTGAAACTACCCAAGGTTTTAGTTTCGATAACCTTACTAGGCAGACCGTTCCACTCGTTCCCTATTGCCAAACCAGTACTTTCCTATATCCTTTAGAAATCTAAATTTATCTAATTTGAATCCATTATTGCGGGTTCTCTCTTGAAGGGATATCCTCAAAACTTTATTTATATCCTCTTTGTTAATACCCATCATCCACTATAGACTTTGATCATGTCTCCCCTCATTTTTCGTCTTACAAGTGAATGTAGTTTAAGGGTCTTCAGTCTTTCTTCATACGGAAGATTTCTAATGCTATGTATTAATTTAGTCGTTCTACGCTGAATGTTTTCTAACAAATTTATGTCCATTCTGTAATCTAGAGACCAGAACTGAGCTGCGTAATCTAGGTGAGGCCTGACTAATGATGTATAAAGCTGTAATATAACCGCTGGACTTCTGTTGCTTACACTTCTTAATATAAATCCCAGTAATTTGTTTGCCTTATTACGTACGCTTAGGCACTGCTGTCTAGGTTTAAGGTTGCTGCTTACCATAACCTCCAAATCCTTGTCGTAATCTGTATGGCTAAGTTCTATGTTATTTAACTTATAAGTGCTAGGGTTATGGACACTTTCGAGCTTCAGAACCCTGCATTTATCTACATTGAACTGCATCTGCCACTTTTCTGACCAGAAATTGAGTTTGTCTAAGTCCTCCTGAAGTTCCATGACGTCTACATTTGAATCAATTATCCTACCTATCTTCATGTCATCGGCGAATTTACTCATATCACTAGTATTTCTCCATCGAGGTCATTGATATATATTATAAACAACAATGGGCCTAAGACTGATCCCTGTGGATCAGTCTTATTCTTTAACATGCCCACCATCTTCCTCCATGGAAGGGTAACCCAAACAAGAAAGTTCATTCACCATTCATTTACTGTCTTGCAAGAAGTGTGTAGACATTACATTACAAATGACCTTCCTAACTGTTCCATCCCCACACCTTTAAAGTGCAGACACTGTAGTTCCCACTACCAGGACTCTAGTCCAGATAACTGGTTTTCCCAATCTCTTCATAACATTACCTTGCTCACACTCCAACATTACATCAAGTCATAAAAAATACTTGTCTCCATTCTGATCAAATACGCCCACGCAAGCCTGCTGGATGCTTAGGCTCGTAGCACTTAGCACCACCTTTACCCCTTCCCTCCAACCTTTCATGGAGTGACTACTATCCCTCCTTTTTTTCCATCCCAGATTTATACATTCTTGGTTATCCTTTTGTGCGCCAGCCTTTGTAAATGCAAAAAAAAAAAATATATTAAAAAAAAAAAACCTTGACAGCCCCTCCTCAGCCATCTGAGTTATACCTTTGAAAACCACACTGTCTTCTAATCTCTATGCCTTGAATTTTCTGCGTAATATTCACATCACAAATTGCTCTCAAGCATGACATCTTTACTGACTTTAGCCTCAATCATCACTTCAAAGTTTAATGCTCATGCTTCACACCCATAAGTGTTGGTGTGTGTGTGTGTGTGTGCTTAAGAACATTACCCGTTTTGCTTCTGTAGATAAACTTTCTCTGCCTCAGTACATCACCTATCTTTTTTCTCTCTTCTGTTTTGTGATTCTCATCTTTCATAGGCCCATCTGCCAATACATCTACTCCTAAATATCTAATTATGTTCACTTCTCCCATATTCGCTCTCTCGAATCTGATATCTGATTATTGTATCATTAAATTATATGTCTGGGAGCATTTAACTGTGCCAGGACACACTGATACTGGACTAAAATGCCTTTCAATAATGAAGTGTATGTTTTTTTTATTTCAGGTAACAGATGATGGGAGACCTTGGTTAGACTTGGCACATATAGTATCAGTCCTTAATAAATTAGATGCTGGATCATCAGACAAGGTGGGTACTGTTTGGTAGCTTATAATTATTTTCCAGCTTATAATCTTTTACCTAATAGTAATCTACAGTAGTTAACTACATGAGTAATGGTACATCTTATTTACTTGGTGCATATTTTGTTTATTACCTGTGACTCAAATATGGCTCCTCGAGCTTCTTACCACCACACATTATTTTTTTAACTCACTGGCTGTCTCCCACCAAGGTAGGGTAACACAAGAAAGAAAGAAACACTTTCACCATCATTCACACTATCACTGTCTTGCCAGAGGTACATAGATACTGCAGTTTGGATGTCCTTCCAAACAGCAAATATCCCCACTCCTTCTATCGAGTGCAGGCACTGTACTTCCTATCTTCTTTATTTCTGGTTTTTCCTGTGACTAATCCTGCTGTGCTTCTCTGTTCCAACCAAAATGGTTCATGAATCTTTATAGGCATTAATTAAATATCAAGACAGTTTATGGTCTAGTTAGTTGCTCCTTGTGTGCTAAATATTTTTGCCTCTAAGTTCAGTATCCCTGGGTTTTTTAGTGTACAGTATATCCTCTATGGGAAATATGCTGGTTTAACCTGCTACATAGAAATGTGACTTAAGATGTTGCATTGCCAAAATATTTAGATAAAATCTTGATTAATCTTTCTGTAGTGTAGTATTGCTGTTTTCTATCTAGTGGCTGAATTCCTGTTTTCAATAAAGATTCCCTAATATATCTTGAACACTAATTTTTTTTGACTGTTGGTATTAATTCCATAACACCTTTTGTACTGGTGATCTCTCTCTTACCTTGTTATGTCTAGTCAACTGCATTTAATAAAATGACAATGTTTTGACCTAACAGTAGATGTTTTCAAAACTATAGATGGGGCCTAGTATAAGTCTTTTCTCTGTTAACTGCTTTGACTATCCTTTATATCTGCAATTTTTTTTTCCAGTTTTCTCTGTGATGCAGGGAGATTTGTCTTCATAGTTATAGATAGTCTTCTCATATATACTCAACTATATGTGGTTGCAGAGGTCAACTCCTAGCTTCTGGTCCCACCTCTCAACTTGCTGCTTGCCAGATTCATTCCCCACTAGCCTCATGGGCTGTATCATACCTACTCTTACACCACTTCTTTGCTGAGGTCATTCCATTTCCCAACCACTATGAAACTGAAGCTGCAGGGGTTGAGTCTTAGCTCCTGACTCGACCTCTCAACTTATAGCTTCCCAGATTCACCCCCTTCTAGCCTCATGGGCCCTGTTGTGCCTGTTCTTAAAACTGCATATGGAGCCTCAGGAAGGATATAGGAAAGCACTGGTTTGTTAATAGAGTTGTGGATGAGTGGAACAAACTCTCGAGTATCGTTACAGAAGCTAAGATGTTGTGTAGTTTTAAAAATAGGTTAGAGAAATACATGAGTGGGTGTGGGTGGGTGTGAGTTGGACCTGACTAGCTGGTGCTACTGGGTCAGATGCCATGATCTTTCCTTAAGTGGAGGTGACCTGACTGGGTGGGCCATTGGTCTAAGCCTGGGGTTGACATGGACCTGCCCCGCATGGGCCAGTAGGCCTGCTGCAGTGTTCCTTCTTTCTTATGTTCTTAATATCCTTATAACTCAGTTGTGTTTTTACCTTTCAGTTATGCCTATCTCATTCTCTGTGTTCTGCTTATAGGTGTGAATAGTAGTGTACCCAGGTATGTTAAATACAGATCATGTGTTGAATCATGTTTTGGCTTAGATTCTTTTTCATTTACTAAGGTAGATTTGATAATGTAGAGTTGACATTGTGTATATTGGTGTAGGATCACTGATGACAGGTATCACTCATTTCTTGGTGTAGGATCACTGATGACAGGTATCACTCATGTCTTGGTGCAGGTTCAGTGATGACAGGTGTCACTGTTGCCTTGGTGCAGAATCACTGATGACAAGTATCACAAGTGCTTTGTTATGGGTTCATGGATGACAGGTACTGTATCAACCCTGAGCTCACTCATAAGTATAGAAAAACTCAATCATACCATAAGAAAAGCCTGTGCTAGAGAATGAGGATAAGCACCACTTAAGTGCATTGACAGACAAGGTCCTACGGTTTTGCCAGAGTATAAGAATATGGCATGCCATAATTCACAGGAAGGCTAGCAACGGAGATACGAAAATTCTTTGTATCAAGATCCCATGATGTTGCAGTGTCTGACAGATGTGATAGATGGTTTAAAAAACCAACAAGTTGAAGATTGAGACACTTGTGCAACATATGGGAATCTTTATTGAGAAAACGTTTCACCACACAGTGGCTTCATCAGTTCAATACAAATCATGGGATCTTAATACAAAGAATTCTTCAGCCTTGTCCAACCTTTGGACGAAGACCTACAGAGATACCAAAGTTGCTGAGTGTTTCTTCTCTGAGGTCAAACACATTTATCTCAGTTAAAATAAGTATGGTAATAAAAAAACTATAATTGTAGTGTACATTGTTTTTCTTTTATATCTTCTCTCATCTCATATTATCATATTGTTTATTTGTATGCTTCATATGTGGCTTCTGATAAGAATTCTCTTAATCATTGAAACCTTCTGGTCACAGTTATCTTGGCATTTCCAATTCCTATAGTACAGGATGTTTCAAAGAGATGGACTGGATCGTGAAATATACTGCTTTGAAATTGAGCCCATCATTTTGATATGCCCTGTATTGTACAACATAAGTCGAAATAATTCAGTGGTAATGCTAGTGCTTTATTGTTGAACAGCTGACAGTAAGCAAATCATTTTTGTTGAACATATGAGATATAATTATATTTAATGAAAGTGTCTTCACCAGTGTTAAAAATATAATTACTCTTTTTATTTTATTTTATGTATGGCTTACGATTTCTATTCAGAATCAGCAGACATTCTGTATCGTGAAAACCTTATATATGTGCATTGAAATATTACAGATATGTCTAATGTCCCATGATGAGCAGAACATCCTGGTTACATCCTATGCTGAGTTGAAGCGTTGTTTTGAGAGATCTTTCAATGAAATACTACAAGCTGCCTCATCACACAAGACAGCATTGTCCTAGCAATGTCTCATTTGCATGTGGTTGCTTCATTGTTCACTGTTACACTAGAAGTGAAGGAAAACAATCAGTAATTCATCCTTTGTTACGGCTCTTGAGAGAACTCATGGTTTGGTAATCCCTAGGCTAATGCAGATTACCACTTAGACACTGAAAAGTATGCAACAGTGAAAATGGTAAGCTTAGTAATCTTGGTCTGTTGACCTCCTGCCCAGTGTTCTAGCCATTAGAGGAATTGCATTGAAGTTTCAGTAACACTGTCCAATTTTCATAATCACCAGTGATGATTTATGAATTCCAGTTACTGTGTTGCACCAGGAGGGCAAGCCACCTTTCATCACCATGTCACTTGAATCAGGTTTAAAGCTTCAGCTAGTTAATATTGTCAAGATGGTTTCATATTTGTATAACATCTTCAAATGGTAAATAATGAATTCATTGAGCGAAATGTGCACTATAAGTTTTCAGTGAGTGCTGTATATATTTTACAGTATCCAAAACACACATGGAAATCATATTGTTACAAATGATCAAAGCATGTTGGCTTGGCTTGCAGTTTTGGGCAGCTGTTTTTTTATGTTAAAACATATGTATAACGCTTAAAGTAAAAGGTCATAACTAAATATATTTTTTTGATATAAATGCAAAATAATTTTTTAGTAATCATGGTATACAGTAACAACAAAAATGGGTGAGAGGGGAAAGGGAGAGGCAGGAAAAATTTCTGGCAGGATGTGTCGTACTAAAGTATTTGTTCCTTTAATTTAAAGGTGCATATTATCTGAGCTTTAAGCCATTTGAAGATGTCTTAGATTAAATTTATTTATTAAATCATAAAACACTTATAAAGAAAACCAAATTTTATACTTTATGAAAATGCATAGTCTTAGCTACAAAAAGAAGTTTTTAAATAGATATTTCCAGTGAGAGAAATGTAGGTTAAGTTAATGCAATTGGAAGAGTTACATACGTTTGAGTCTTCTGTGATAGGTGTGAACCTGGTCTGCTGTTAATAGCAAGCATTACTGATCAAAATGACTTTTCTCAAATTTTTTCTTTTATTTTTCTTATTGTGAGAAGCAGTGAAATAATGCATCTGTCGAATGAAATGCATTTCATTTGCAGTTAACTTTTATCCTGAGTACTGTGATTGATTTTGCAATATGGATTAACAGTAGCCTGATTTAGTGTTGTACCAGAAGTACGGGGGTGTATTTAGCAACTTCTGTGAAGTGAAAATTGTTAAGAAATAATATTGGTGAGCGAGCACAAAGTTAGTGTACTTACAAACTGTACAGAAAATATTTAAAGATTAGGCTAGTGTCTTAAAGATTCTTATCACCACATTCATACTGAATGGTACACTAGCTCTATTTCATATTTATTAGATATTAAAGAGTATTATTTATTTTTTGTGGAGGATAGTCAAAGCTTGATAGGCTTTTGGACTGGTTTAGATTAAGTATTCTTTCCCTTAGCTCTATTTTTTGCTAATTCAAATAATGTAGTTTTTATGTTTACAGTATCAGACAATTGAAACTTTAAAGTTTGAATAGGAAAATAAATTTTCTTTTAAAAAATTAGCCTTCATTTCGTGCATGCAACTTTTCTAATAGAGATACTGTACAGTATAGTAGTAGAGCAATGATTGGTATTATTAAAATTATCTGACCTCTGATATCTGTACAATTAGTACTGTCACGCATACAATTATTTGCAATAATAGCTGGTTGCTAAATGGTTTCTTCTCAGTAGGTCACTTTATTGCAGCCTTAAGGTTGAGGATGCAACCAATACTACCTTCAAGAAATAAATTAAATACCAAGAGTTGACATATACCTCTCATTAACAGGCAAGTATTGTAATCATGAAACTATTTTTCTTATCTGTATTTGTATATAGGAACACAAAATATTGAATGACCATGCTGACAAAGCATGTAATAATCCTATTTGATTTATGCATTACCAGTTTTATTTAATTTCTTTTAAATTTGTGGGTGTTTTTGCATGCTCTTAGACTTATCCATTCAAGACATTTGACCAAATATATCTTAAAAAATATGGGAATTTTAAAATGCATTTTTTTTTGTAGTTCAGTTAACCATTTAATAGGTAGATTACTTTGAAATCAAATTTATATTCCTTTTGGTTATTTTGTCAGATACTTATTTATACATACAAACACACTATATAAAATGCACTTTTTTCACAGTTGGAAGCTTTTGCATGCATGTATGTCTCGGCATACATTTTCTTATCTTGGGCTACATGTGCCAATGTGTGCACACACACATTAAGTGATACTTCAGTGAGCTACCTGAGGCTCTGCTACCACAGACTTTGTTGGAAGTTACTATCTTATTGGTAACTAATAAAACCTGAGTATGTAGTGTTATTATGATGGAAATCACCTTGGGAATGGGATTGCTGGAGAATACATCTAGAAAGGTACTAATCAAACAATTCTTTTAGGATCACTTTTTTTTTTTTTAATGTTTTGTTGAGTCGGCTATTGGTGTGCCATCAACCAGTTTCTTTAATACTATGAAAGCCAGTTTGTGCATTATAAATCTTTAGATTACATTCATACTTCAGATTTTTTTTTACATGTTGGCCATTTCCCACCAAGGTAGGGTGACCCAGAAAGAAAGAAAGAAAAACCTTTCATCATCATTCAACAATTTCACCCTCACTCATACATAATCACTGTGCAGAGGCACTCAGATATGACAGTTTAGATGTCCCTCCAAGCTGCCAATATCCCAAACCCCTCCTTGTGAATATCTAGTAGTGTTTGTTTTACCTATTTGTGATTACGTACCTGTTTTGACATATTTGTGGCTACAAGAACTGAGTTATGTATGTTATGTACAGTTTTCAATAATAAAGTATTTAGTTTTTTATTGTCAAAAGTCTCCAGAGATTGTACTACACTTTCTTCTTGAATCCTATTCCACATATCTACAAATCTAATTGCGAAGAATATTTTCTAGTGTTTAAAGCACTTTTCTCATAATTTGAAATATGATTTATTTCTCTTAATACGTTGTACCTGTACCATGGCTTCCGTAACTGCATTCTCATATTCTTGTATGTTTTTTTAATATCCTTTCTTTTACTCTTTTTTTTTTATATATATTTTCTTTTTCACTTAATTTAGTTGCAGACCCTTCAGTCTTTCTGTGTGATTCATATTTTTATGTTCTAGGATCTGTTTTATTGCATGTCTTTGATTTTTTTTTTTTTCCCCCCCAACAAGTCTGCCGTCTCCCACCGAGGCAGGGTGACCCAAAAAAGAAAGAAAATCCCCAAAAAGAAAATACTTTCATCATCATTCAACACTTTCACCACACTCACACATTATCACTGTTTTTGCAGAGGTGCTCAGAATACAATAGTTTAGAAGCATATACGTATAAAGATGCACAACATATCCCCCCAAACTGCCAATATCCCAAACCCCTCCTTTAAAGTGCAGGCATTGTACTTCCCATTTCCAGGACTCAAGTCCGACTATATGAAAATAACCGGTTTCCCTGAATCCCTTCACTAAATATTACCCTGCTCACACTCCAACAGATCGTCAGGTCCCAAGTACCATTCGTCTCCATTCACTCCTATCTAACACGCTCACGCATGCTTGCTGGAAGTCCAGGCCCCTCGCCCACAAAACCTCCTTTACCCCCTCTCTCCAACCCTTTCGAGGACGACCCCTACCCCGCCTTCCTTCCCCTATAGATTTATATGCTTTCCATATCATTCTACTTTGATCCATTCTCTCTAAATGACCAAACCACCTCAACAACCCCTCTTCTGCCCTCTGACTAATACTTTTATTAACTCCACACCTTTTCCTAATTTCCACACTCCGAATTTTCTGCATAATATTTACACCACACATTGCCCTTAGACAGGACATCTCCACTGCCTCCAACCGTCTCCTCGCTGCTGCATTTACCACCCAAGCTTCACATCCATATAAGAGTGTTGGTACTACTATACTTTCATACATTCCCTTCTTTGCCTCCATAGATAACGTTTTTTGTCTCCACATATACCTCAACGCACCACTCACCTTTTTTCCCTCATCAATTCTATGATTAACCTCATCCTTCATAAATCCATCTGCCGACACGTCAACTCCCAAGTATCTGAAAACATTCACTTCTTCCATACTCCTCCTCCCCAATTTGATATCCAATTTTTCTTTATCTAAATCATTTGATACCTTCATCACCTTACTCTTTTCTATGCTCACTTTCAACTTTCTACCTTTACACACATTCCCAAACTCATCCACTAATCTTTGCAATTTTTCTTTAGAATCTCCCATAAGCACAGTCTCATCAGCAAAAAGTAACTGTGTCAATTCCCATTTTGAATTTGATTCCCCATAATTTAATCCCACCCCTCTCCAAACACCCTAGCATTTACTTCTTTTACAACCCCATCTATAAATATATTAAACAACCATGGTGACATTACACATCCCTGTCTAAGACCTACTTTTACTGGGAAGTAGTCTCCCTCTCTTCTACACACACTAACCTGAGCCTCACTATCCTCATAAAAACTCTTTACAGCATTTAGTAACTTACCACCTATTCCATATACTTGCAACATCTGCCACATTGCTCCTCTTATCCACTCTATCATATGCCTTTTTTTAAATCCATAAATGCAATAAAAACTTCCCTACCTTTATCTAAATACTGTTCACATATATGCTTCAATGTAAACACTTGATCTACACATCCCCTACCCACTCTGAAACCTCCTTGCTCATCTGCAATCCTACATTCTGTCTTTCTAATTCTTTCAATTATAACCCTACCGTACACTTTTCCTGGTATACTCAGTAAACTTATTCCTCTCTAATTTTTACAATCTCTTTTGTCCCCTTTCCCCTTTATATAAAGGGACTATACATGCTCTCTGCCAATCCCTAGGTACCTTCCCCTCTTTCATACATTTATTAAACAAAAGTACCAACCACTCCAACACTATATCCCCCCCCCTGCTTTTAACATTTCTGTCATGAACCCATCAGTTCCAGCTGCTTTACCCCCTTTCATTCTACATAATGCCTCACGTACCTCCTCCACACTTACATACTGCTCTTCTTCACTCCTAAAAGATGGTATACCTCCCTGGCCAGTGCATGAAATTACCGCCTCCCTATCTTCCTCAACATTTAAAAGTTCCTCAAAATATTCTCGCCATCTACCTAATACCTCCCTCTCCCCATGTACTAACTCCCCTACTCTGTTTTTAACTGACAAATCCATACTTTCCCTAGGCTTTCTTAACTTGTTTAACTCACTCCAAAATTTTTTCTTATTTTCATTAAAATTTCTTGACAGTGCCTCTCCCACTCTATCATCTGCTCTCCTTTTGCACTCTCTCACCACTCTTCACCTTTCTTTTACTCTCCATATACTCTGCTCTTCTTATAACACTTCTGCTTTGTAAAAACCTCTCATAAGCTACCTTTTTCTCTTTTATCACACCCTTTACTTCATCATTCTACCAATCACTCCTCTTTCCTCCTGCCCCCACCCTCCTATAACCACAAACTTCTAATACTGCATTTTTAAAACTATTCCAACCCTCTTCAACCCCCTCACTACTAATCTTTGCATTAGCCCACCTTTCTGCCAATAGTCGCTTATATCTCACTCGAACTTGCTCCTCCCTTAGTTTATACACTTTCACCTCCCTCTTACTTGTTGTTGCCACCTTCCTCTTTTCCCATCTACCTCTTACTCTAACTGTAGCTACAACTAAATAATGATCCGATATATCAGTTGCCCCTCTATAATCATGTACATCCTGGAGCCTACCCATCAACCTTTTATCCACCAATACATAATCTAACGAACTACTTTCATTACGTGCTACATCATACCTTGTATATTTATTTATCCTCTTTTTCATAAAATATGTATTACTTATTACCAAATCTCTTTCTACACATAGCTCAATTAAAGGCTCCCCATTTACATTTACCCCTGGCACCCCAAATTTACCTACTACTCCCTCCATAACATTTTTACCCACTTTAGCATTGAAATCCCCAACCACCATTACTCTCACACTTGATTCAAAACTCCCCACACATTCACTCAACATTTCCCAAAATCTCTCTCCTCTACACTTCTCTCTTCTCCAGGTGCATACACGCTTACTATAACCCACTTTTCACATCCAATCTTTATTATACTCCACATAATCCTTGAATTAATACATTTATAGTCCCTCTTTTCCTGCCTTCAACATTATTGCTACTCCTTCTTTAGCTCTAACTCTGTTTGAAACCCCTGACCTAATCCCATTTATTCCTCTCCATTGAAACTCTCCTACCCCCTTCAGCTTTGTTTCACTTAAAGCCTGGACATCCAGCTTCTTCTCATTCATAACATCCACAATCATCTCTTTCTTATCATTTGCACAACATCCACGCACATTCAGACTTCCCACTTTGAAATTTCCTTCTTCTTATTCTTTTTAGTAATCTCTACAGGAAAAGGGGTTACTAGCCCATTGTTCCCGGCATTTTAGTTGACTTTTACAACACGTATGGCTTACGGCGGAAAGATTCTTATTCCACTTCCCCATGGATATAAAAGGAAAAGTAATAAGACCAAGAACTATTAAGATAAAATCAAAGAAAACTCAGATGAGTGTGTATAAATAAACGTGTACATGTATGTGTAGTGTGACCTAAGTGTAAGTAGAAGTAGCAAATGTACCTGTAATCTTGCATATTTATGAGACAGACAAAAGACACCAGCAATCCTACCATCATGTAAAACAATTACAGGCTTTTGTTTTACACTCGCTTGGCAGGACGGTAGTACCTCCCTGGGTGGTTGCTGTCTACCAACCTACTACATGTCTTTGTACTGTATATATTTTGCTATTGTTTAACCCTATTGGGGTTGGTGCCGTAGTACCACGAGTTTGAGCTCAGTATCTGTGCAGTAGAACTACATAATGAACTCGGCTCACTTAGATAAGCTGTGAGCGGTAAATTTGGGCCTAGATGTGAGAGAATGGGTCTATGTGGTAAGTGTGCACCACATAAAAAATCCTGCCCCTTGCAGTGCACAGTGGGAAAAAAAGCTGCAACCGTGTTTTTGGTTTAAAACAACTTTATGGTGTATTTTTGTATGGTTTTTATGGTTGTATTCTCAGTCTAGTGGTCTCATTTGATAAAATTGAAAGTATGTTACAGTAGAGATGATTCTGATTGGTTTCAAGATGGAAAGTAGCTTGAATTGAGCTCAAAGTAGCGGGAATGTTAGATTTTTGCCAATATTTCAGAGTACATAAATTATGTCACTTGTTCAATATGTGTCCAGCTGGTCAGTTTAATGTGCATTCACGAATGTGCTGACATTATTTATGTAATTATTACAAAAATGCAATAGTCTGCATAACAATAAATCTATTTTTGTATGATTAAAAATTCAAAATGGAAGGCAAGTATAATATAGGAGAATCCTGGGGCTGTAACTAATGAACAAAGGAAATGTTTATAGTGCCAGGAATGTCTATATTTTTTTTTTCTGTTCCCTCTTTTTAAATTGGCAATTTTTGAATTTTGTGTGAAATTGGTCAAATTACTGATTTCTGATCACTTTATTGGGTAGTTGAAATAGTTAAAGGGGTGGTTTCTTATACTCATTTGATAGAAAGAAGGAATAGTGAAATAGGTATGAGTTTGGCCAACTGGAACAATAGAATTGGCCTAAAATAGGACTCAAAGTAGGCAAAATCACCGATGCCTAAATATTGCCAAGACCGCTAACTGCAAGAACATAATTCGGTAAGTTTTCCATCAAATTTCATGTTTGTGGCTTCATTACCTTCAGAGAAAGGTTCTCTATCATTCACAAGTTTTTTTTTTTTTTTTTTTTTTTTTATCAACCCTGAGAGCAATTCTCAAGATCAAGGATCCTGACCCTGAAAGGGGTCAAGACCCTTGATCTGAGAAACATGAAAAAAAAAAAAAAATGCACCCCTGAAGGGGTGCATTTTAGGTTATTACCCATTTAAGTTAGATGGCATTTGTCAGTGTTATATTTTGTTCATTTATTATTCCATATTGTAATTTGTCTAAATCATCATGTTGGGTTTTGCAATCACTTTGATTTTCTACTTTCCATAAAAATTTTTTAGCATCTGCAAACATCAGTAGTTATTATTATTTTTTTTTTTTTTTTTTTTTTTTTTTTTTTTACTGGCCGTCTTCCACTGCAGTAGGGTGAACCAAAAAAGACACTTTCACCATCATTCACTCTATACTGTCTTGCCAGGAGTGCAAGTCCCAAAAGCATTTCCCTCCACTCCTAACATGCTCGCTCACACACACACACACACACACACACACACACACACACACACACACACACACACACACACACACACACACACACACACACACACACACGCACGCACGCACACACACACATGTGCCTAGGACAAAATGGTAACTAACACACACACACACACACACCTACACACCTACAACAGGCCTAGTGTCTAATCGACATGTGCCTAGGACAAAATGGTAACTAACTAACACACACATTGCTGACTGTCCAAGCCCCTCGCACAGAAAACCTCCTTTACGCCCATCCTCCAACCTTTTATTGGGTGGCCTCTACCCCACTTTCTCTCCACTACAGATTTATGAACCCTTCAAGTCATTCTATTTTGCTCTTTAACTGTCTAAAACATCAAAATAACCCCTCCTTTGGATAATACTTTAAGTAACTCCTACTTTATATTAGATTCTGTATATTTTAATCCCACACGTCTCCCCAACACCGTAGGGTTCACTTCTTTTACAACCCCTTCTATAAATATGTTAAATATCATTGATGACATCATGCATCCCTATTTAAGGCTTACTGTTGCTGAAAAACAATCTCCCTCTCTTCTATGTACCGGAACCTGAGCCTTGCTATCTTCATGAAAACTCTTAACTGCTTTCAGTAACCTGCTGCTATTTCATCCACTTGCATCACATATTCTACCCTTCCTAAAACCTCCTCCTCCATCAGTGATCCTGGTCTTCATCTTACCCATTATGTCAGCCAAAAACCGATTTGTATGAAAATTGAAGAAATATTTCCCATAAGAAATAATGTAAATCCAATTAATCCATTCCAGACACCCAAAAATATTAACAAAAAATACATTTTATAGAGAATAACTAGGTTTTAAATACAGAAAAAAATGAGATATAAATATAAAGCACTAATGAAATGGATAAATGAACATTTAAATCACTTTTACCTTTACTGAAGACTTGTTGGCATATGGAAGCCAGCGAGTAGGGGAGAGAGGAGGAGAGGTTACTGTTTGGAAGGGGAATCCCCCTCCATAAAGACTGGGTATCAAGGCTCTATCTGGGGTTACTTCCCTTCTTAGTCTTTTACTGGGACTAGGACCAGCTTGAGAATCACTGGACCTTTGCCACACAAAAAAAATATCTGTCCACTCTCTACCACCATCACTGCCACCCTCTACCACCATCACTGCCACCCTCTACCACCATCACTACCACCTTCTACCACCATCACTACCACCTTCTACCACCATCACTACCACCTTCTACCACCATCACTACCACCCTCTGTCATCACTACCACCCTTTACCACCATCATTACCACCCTCTACCACCATCACTACCACCCTCAACCACCATCACTACCACCCTTAACCACCATCACTACCACCCTTAACCACCATCACTACCACCCTTAACCATCATCACTACTGCCCTCTACCATACCATCACTACCACCCTCACTACCACCATCACTGCCACCCTCACTACCACCATCACTGCCACCCTCACTACCACCCTCACTACTACCCTCACTACTACCCTCTACCACCATCACTACCACCCTCTACAAGTAACAAAGGCAGACTGAATCACAAACGTATGAGCAGCCGCGGGCAGGCGGACGCTTCTGGTATGGATGATTTCCAAGCGGATGTACAAAAATGGGGAAAATTTCGCCAAAAAAAGTAGTCGAAAACTGAATTATATGATAACTGGACCGAATGAAAACCGGGGTTCCATTCTAATTTTTATCCCTGGTATACTTAACATGTTCGTTCCCCTAAATAACAAAAAGGCACAATACCGTGACTGGAACGATACACAAATAACCCGCACATAAAAGAGAGAAGCTTACGACGACGTTTCGGTCCGACTTGGACCATTGACAAAGTCACACTAACAGAGGTGGAGCAGAACGGCTATATATAGGCAGGAAGAGGTGAAGGTAGTAGTAGTAGTAGTAGTAGTAGTAGTAGTAGTAGTAGTACAAGAATTGTATATAATACCGACAAGATGAAATTAAGACACATGCACAACACCCGGGCATCCCCATCGTAGACGTTTCGCCATCCAGCCAGCCACTGGATGGCGAAACGTCCACAACAAAGACAACCAGACGCCACACATGTGTCTTAATTTCATCAGTAGTTGTAGTAGTAGTAGTAGAAGAAGAGGTAGTAGTAGTGGTAGTGGTAGAAGTGGGAAATAAGGATGACGAGCCAGTCAAAAACAAAGGAAGGGGAGCACTGCAAGAGAGCTAGATGCCCACAGAGGGAGAGCAAGCGCACAGAGGTGCGTGAAAGGGGAAGTGGTGAAATAAAATAAATGAAGAAGGAACAGAAACACGAGACAGGAGAGAGAAAGACAACCCAGAGGAGAAAGGAAATAGGAAAGGGGAAGAGGAAGAAGAAAAAGAAAGAAAAAATGAGGATTCAGGTTAAGTCAATGGTGTTCTGAAGTTTGGTGCATTTTACAATGTAGTGGGAGAGGAAAGCATCTACAGAGACGAAGCCAGGGCTAAGGTTCATACAAGGAAAGTTGTGTATTAGAGAGGATTCAACTAGACGGCGATTGTTCGAGTTGGAAGTAGGGAAGACAGTTTTAGCAGAAGATCAGTCAATAGGATGGCTATGATCTCTGACGTGACAGAAAAGAGCATTGTTAGTGTCGGCAAGCCTAACACTATTTTTGTGCTCCCTAAGTCTGTCAGAAAGAGATCGACCAGTTTCTCCGAAGTATTGAAGAGGACAGGAGGAGCAAGAAATAGAGTAGACACCAGGAACATCTGTAGAGGGAGGAGAGGTATGAACGAGATTAGTGCGAAGAGTGTTAGTCTTGTACTACTGCTGCTGCTGCTGCTGCTGCCGCTGCCGCCGCCGCCGCCGCCGCCGCCGCCACCACCTCTTCCTGCCTATATATAGCTGTTCTGCTCCACCTCTGTTAGTGTGACTTTGTCAATGGTCCAAGTCGGACCGAAACGTCGTCGTAAGCTTCTCTCTTTTATGTGCGGGTTATTTGTGTTTCGTTCCCCTATAATTTTTTATCATTTGTTCCTCTTTCCATTTTTACTAAGAAACTATGCACCCACTCAGCCAATCTCTAGGTACGTACAAGAGGGCCCCATTTGTACTATTAGGGTTACGACTCCATACAGTAAGTGAAAATTGACAGTGGGTGGAAATAGGAGCATTTTTTCATTGTCATGTGCATCTAAAATGCTTGATAACATCTTTACACTGTCACATATTAACTTGCTCTGTACAGCTAAGCATGAAAAACCGATAAAAATGTAAAATACACAGTACAGGAGGGCCCTGCTTATACAAAAGGTTAGGTTCCGAGCTACTGCTGTAAAGTGAATCATAACCATTTTTCACTTTAAATGCATATAAAATCCTGATAACATGTTTACACTATAATTTTGACCTTTGAAGAGTTTCAAGAGTTTTTCTACTCTCTGAGCCCGGCCATGGGCCAGGCTCGTCTGGTGCTTTCCTGGTCAACCAGGCTGTTGCTGCTGGAGGCCCGCTGCCCCACATATCCATCACAGCCTGGTTGATCTGGCACCTGGTGAAGATACTTGTCTAGTTTCCTCTTGAAGGCTTCCTCACTTGTTCCAGCAATGTTTCTGATATCCTCTGGTAAGATGTTGAAAATTCTGGGACCCTGGATGTTGATACAGTGTTCCCTTATTGTCTCCACTGCACCCCTGCTCCCCACTGGGTTTATTTTACACTTCCTCCCATATCTCCCATATGGCAGTGTGCATTTGGGACCAAGCCCACGAGTACCTTTCAGGTATATATTATCATGTACCTCTCTCTCCTCCGGTCCAATGAGTACATGTTCAAGACTTGCAGGCATTCCCAGTAGTTTAGGTGCTTTACTGGCTCAATGTGAGCCGTAAACGATCTTGGTATTTGTTCCAGTTCCGATATTTCTCCTGCCTTGAACGGTGCTGTCAGCACTGAACAATATTCTAAGTGAGGGAGAACTAGCGATTTGAAGAGTGTCACAATCGGCATTATTTCCCTTGTTTTGAAAGTTCTCAATACCCACCCCGTCATCTTCTTGCCTGTCATGATCTTTGTCTTGTTATGGTCTTTAAAAGAAAGGCCCGCTGACATAATTATTCCTAGGTCTTTTACGTGTTCCTTACGTTCTATTTGGTGACCCTCTTGAGTTTTGTATATAGTGCTCCTTTTGAGTTCTTCATTCTTTCCATACCTAAGCAGTTGGAACTTATCCCCATTGAACGTCATGTTGTTCACTGCCCACTGGAAAACCCTTTTATGTCTTCCTGTACTTTTTCAGTGTCCTCTACCGTACTGACTTTCATGCTTATTTTAGTGTCATCTGCAAATGACGATACAAAAGTGTGCCGGGTGTTTTTGTCTGTCTGCTATGAGGATGAGGAACAGCAGAGGTGCCTTGGGCACTGAGCTTTTGACCTCGCTGATGCTGGATCTTGCCCTGTTCACTACTACTTTTTGTGTTCCGTGTGTTAGGAAACCGAAAATCCATCTGCCTACCTTCCCTGTAATGCCCATGGCCTTCATTTTGTGCGCTATCACTCCATGATCACATTTGTCAAACACCTTTGCAAAATCTGTGTAAATCACATCTGCGCTTTGATCGTCTTCCAGTGCCTCCGTAATTCTGTCGTAATGGTTTAGCAGCTGTGACAGACATGATTGTCCTGCTCTAAAACCATGCTGGTTCGGGTTATGTTGGTTGTGCTGGTCCATGAAATTTGTAACCTGCCGTCTCAGTGAGCAATATAGTGAGCAATATAGCTAAGCCTAAAAAATGTATATACAGTACACGCATT